GGGATGGCAGTGAATGTGACGTTGCTGTCAGATGGATCTTGAACGAAGGCACCAACCTACATGCTGACTGGTATCCCGGCTTGAGTCCGGCATCGAGCTACTCGGAGGTGCAAGACTTCCTGAACAAAAGGGGGAAATGTCCACGGCCATGCCCCGTACAGCATGGCGTGACGGAGGCTTACATGAATCTCCCGTTCAAGATATGTCATGATGCCACCTTTCCCGAGCCATGTGCGTGGGAAATGCGCAAGCTGAAGAACCGCCTCATGAACAGCTCGCGCGGGTTTCCTGGGCTCACGCCCGAATCCAGTTTCCAGGCTGGGCTGTCGGACGAAACCAGTGTTCACTCAAAAAACATGACCCCTTGGCCATGCACCAGGAGCTGCAAGCCTTCCTCCATGCAAAATCGTCAGAGCTGTGCCCGGCTCCTTGTGATGTTTGCGAGGATTCTTGGATTGTTAGGTCATGAGGCTGGGGCTGAGAAAATCCATACAAAGTTCCGTCATTTCCGAGGATGCAGCCCAAGACTCGGCCTGTGGCAGGCGCGGAGGAGGGATGCGGAGAGCAGGTGGTCGCAGATGCCTTTAGGGTGTTCCGCTCTTGCACCTCTGTCTTACTAGTTAGTAGGAGCGTCGAGAGGAGAGATCCCTAGATTTCGTTACTTTCCTGTCACAGAATGTCAAGGCTTTCATCAGTGAGTCGCCACGGGATGAGTTTCAACTCCTGTTGTTTGACTGTCGGGTCCTGGTGGTATGCTATGGTTGCACCCCAAGAGTCCCGTGTCAGCTCACCATGGCACTGCTGTGGAGGGCCATTGCGGATCAGATGCAGAAGATACGGGAGCCGCTGACAGCTCCCTTCAGCGGGGTCTCCATGTGGGCCGGATATTCCGAGCTTCAAAGCGTTCTGGAGCGCCTGAGCTGAGAACGCAATCACCTTCTTGCAAGCCCCGACTGGGAGCGTGAGCTCTTGCAGATACGTCAAGCAATTAAGCTAGCAACTAGTGTTCGTAGCTCCATGTAAGATAGGAGTTGGCTCCGGCTGTCAGAAGTATCTGAGGCGATACGACAAACACTCTTGCCCACAACCATGTGCTTTGAGAGTGCCCAAGTTCGCAGCTTGCCTGCAGGAAGTACGAGGGCTGCTGTGTTCCTGTTGTTTCTTTGGGCTACAGCAGCGACGTGTATCGGCTGTTGTCAGAGTTCGGGGGACCTCAGAATGGAGAGGAAGGAGTCGACAGGAGTGCAGTGCCCCACAGCCCGAAGCCATCATGTTGGCTTTTGTTGGCACTGTGAATTGAGTTCTCAATTGCGTTCATGATACCTGCGGCACCACCTTGAAGCCGCGTACCTGGCCTTGAGAATCTCCAGTTTGCAGTGGGCCGGAGCTGCTAGGTGTTGTGGCCTATGCAGTTTTGAGTTTCTGACAGAACTCTTAGGTTTCAGGCGGCGGCAGCTGGATAATGCATGTTGCTCACGTGGACCGACAGCACCGGTGCAAGCACCTCTCAGACTTTGGATTACTTACAAGAGCGAGAGGCGACGTTCCTCGATCAAGATCATCGCCTGCTGGCTTCTCAAGGGATGGCAAGAGCTGGAGCAAGGGGAAAATCTGCACGTGCAGACTACTGCTGACGCTTTTCCACAGCCACCCCCGCATGAAAAGCACACTGCGTCAGCAGGTGGCGCATGATGTTCAACGATATTTCAACGATGGAGAGAGCAAGGAGAGAGGGAGAGATAGCGAGACATTTCCTTGTTTTGGCTCCAAGACTTCCCCAGCCGTGAGAGTCGAAAAGCAGAAGCGAGAGACAATGGAAAGAGCCAGAGAAAAGGAAGGAGCGGAGATGAAGGTATGCTGCCGCAGCCAAGTTGATGCTTGTGAGAGAGAGGGGTGACCCTTACCTGCTTACCTTGCATTTTGGTCCCCTCCGAGGTGCAGGCCACCTGCCCTTCCTCAACTTGAGTCTTGCAGGCTGAGCAGTGCGACGATTGGTCAGCTGGCCACCGGGGCACCTTCAGCAGTGGTGTTGGGCACAGAGGCAGCCAATAGTTCTGCCCTTGCTGCTTGTCGCGGGATGAGCCCCCATTTAATGCACAGAGAAATAATTCGATCAGGCATTTAGCCCGGCCAGCCACGCAATGGAATTGATTTTTGGGCGCTCCGGCGGGCAAGGATCCGCCGGTTGTGCAATTTTGGAAGGTATCACGCAGTAGTTGATGATACATGCTGGATCGGAGAAGGATGTTTTAGAAGCTGGAGTTTGATTATCTGCCAGTGAGTCGTGTAGTTTTCGACTTCAACGACGGTGTATCGGACGTGCAAGCTGTACAGATCCAATGGCCAGCCCGCGTGGACTGGGGGTGTAAGCCTGCATGACATGCATCCTCGCGATGCTGTTGATCAGATCAGAGTTTGCCCCGTGTACACGAAGTTGGGCGTTGGCATTTCCACCGCGTGCACCGGCTGGGCATGAACATGAACTACCCACATGCAGATGGCTGGTAGGTGCATTTCCGTAGAAGGGAAGCTGGAGTGAATGCCCAAAACAACTGCATCTAACTGCCACTGACACCAGCACTCAAGCAGAAGATTGCCTTGGAAGCCTTGCGTCAGGGTACCCGCGAGCTCTTCGACTACTCCTCCGGTGTGCTGCAGGTCAAGGCAGGCACAGGAATCACAGAGAATTCGACTTGGATGAAAAATCGAAGCAGGGTCGCACACCAGCGCGAGCATGCCAGGCAACGGGACAAAAGCCATGCCCTTAGATGCCATCTGCAACCGTTGTCCAGCCCGATGCAATCTCGACAAAGCTTGCAGGTTTTATGTAGGGCCCTTCGAGGCCCTCCTTGGCTGTCAAGTCTCCGAAAGCCAGCCTAACAACTCGGTGACAGGTGGTTTCAGGTGGGGAGCTGCACAAGCGCCTGCATGAGGCGGGCACAGCCGGCGGCCTCCGCTTGAATGGCAGATGTTTCTTCAGCTTCCTGATGCAGCCGCCTGAATTTTCAGCTTCGGCAGGCTTTGCCCGAAAAGAGAAGGTTTCGACACAGTGCCCTGCCTTGGTGAACCTTCGGGGAGCATCCGCGCACCTGCAAACAAAACATTCTGTCGTATACATGCGCGCGCAAGATGCCGAGATGGCGGGGCAGCAGCTGGTGCATCCCAATTCTCGGACCCTCGAGCCCAGTGTGGACAGACAGGTTGCCTCTAATCCTCAAGGTGCGATGCAGGTACCCTTGCAGTGCCTTCGGTTTGGCAGGAACAGATTGCTTGTTGCTGCGTGTTGTACTTCGCCCAAGGCCCTTTTACCATTGGCGACGTCCAAGCCTGTGAAGCTGACGAACTTGGAGGCCATCCAGCAGTTTCGAAGCGCTTCTGCAAGCGGCGAAGATAGATCAAGGCGGAGAACGAGTCAAACTCACCCAGCAGATCCTCACGCATGCGCTCCCATGACAAGGGACTATACCAACATACCAGCATTGCATGACATTGCATGCGTTGTTGTCAATCATTGCGATACTGTACCCTAGCACCGTTTTGAGGCTTTGCTAGCTGCGACGTGCCTTGATGCCAGGCCTTACCTTCAAAAACGTGGTGGCTGGTGCCCCAGCAGCAAGCACTGCAGCAGTCCCATGAAATGATTCGAACTGAGTAGCAAGAGTTTTCCATAGCTCCATCCTGCCACTCACAGACCGCCGCTTTTGCCCAAAATTCCAAGCTTGGAGTTGTGACAAGCAGGCAAGTCTGCACCCGCGCAAGTGGAAGAGCACGTTACGAGCCTAGAGCACAACGACTCACCGATGACTCCCTCACGCTGACTTCGGACACTCTTCGAAGTTCCTGTCCTGGACCTTGTTTGCGCTTCAGTGCCCCCCGATCATGCTCCGCCCCAGGGAATGCGCAGCGACCTGTTGGACTACACGCTTTTAGGTGGCTTGAGTGCGACCTACTTGGCATTTGGGCAGTACCAGAGGTCAGGCGCTGTGATGTTTGGGATCTCTTAGATGTAGACAATGTAGACTGTAGACGGTGCCGCGAGCCCTGCCGCAGACGCTCCATGTAGCAGGAGTTCCATGTAAGCCCTCCCTAGGGTGGGCTAAATTGCTTGCATTTGGTGGGCTTGCCTGGCTGCTGACCAGATGCTGTGCTGCACCTGTCAACTCATTCTGAAGACGCACGGCAGAATCTAAACTGATGGCGTCGCCAGGAGGTGCTTCTTGGGAAGATGTCCGGACTCACCACCGCGGCTGTCTTGTGACAGCCTGCCTTCCTCTCGGCACATCGCTCCCTCGTAGGTCCTAGCCGCTCGTTGCTTCTCAACAGGCCGTCATTCTGCCAGCTTGGACGGTCTGCTACCTTATACGATGGTCCGCCGACCAGCAGCCGGGAGGTCAACCTTTGCTGGGCAAAATCTCAGCTTGTGCTTTTGCAAAGCTATGTGCGCTCTTGCCGACAATGATTGGAACGATTGCGTTTCTTATCGTGGGAGCTGAAGCTCGGCTGGGCGACGAGCTGCAGCCTGAGCAGCTGAAGTCCTTGAGCTCTTGTGCACACCGCTTACGTGAAGCCTGCACTGGGCGTCGTGAAAACGGAAAGGCACGATTCCGTTCAAGCCTGATGCTGCCTCATGCCGCCTGTCTCCTGGAAACGCTTGCCGTCATTGATACAGTACATCTCAAAGGACAGCAGCAGCGCCTGGCGAAGTCATAATGGGTGCGCCGTCCACGCCATCAGAGCCAGGTAGAGCAGAGATCTGCGGAGCAGAAATTGCGCGGAGGGCTTGCTGCTTTCCCGAGCCGCAGGCATGTGTTGCTCTTCGAGCTCGGGCTAGGTGGTGGGAGGTCCAATGGCAGGAGGCTGCTCGGAAATTATTCTCAAGTTTTTAGACTACTACTACAGTTCGTGGGCCCGAGCAAGGAACGTAGCTCTGCGCTCCCTTTTCGCATGTTTTGCTCACAGCGGAATCGAAGCAGTTAGAGCAATTCTAGACATGTGCCAGCATGTCCTGGTTGCTGCTGAGTTTCTGGACGTGGTTTGTGCACCGGAGCGCGGGGCTTCTTTCGCTTGACTGGGCAGTGGAAGCAACGCCATGCACGCCGGAGGAGATTCTAAGAGCTTTGGGCTGCTTCCGGTGGGTGCGGCCCAACACGCCAATCACAGCTCTTTGGTACATGTGCGAGTACCCGAGCCCCGGAAGTCTCAAGCTTCACAACATCAGTGCCACAGCAAAGCCTGCCACGACGAGTCTTTGCTGCAGATGCTTTGCCAAGTTTGCCTTGATCCAACGCCAGCTAGCACAGGAGTCTGCAAGACTGAAAGCCCGACTGATGCTCCAGACTGACACTGTCCGAAATCTTTCGGCAAAACTTCGCGTGCCCCTAATCTTCCGAAGCCCAGCAAGATATGACGATGTGCGGCATGCTTCGATACTGTTTAAGAGAATCTTCGGCACTTTTCTGCGAGATACATGGTTCTTGTCCACTTCACTGTTGGCGCTTGTGGAGGATGGTGGTGCAGACTCACCATTCGACATACGCACTCTTGAGGATCTGGTTGCCGACACTTTGATTCTTGTTCGCGACAAGGCAGACTCACTGCGGAAGCTGCTGCTGCAGACTGAGAACAGCTGTTTGCCCAACATCTTCCACCAAACCTGCACGGCAGATCACCTGGCAGTGTTCCACAGTTTTCCTCCTGTTGAAGGACCTGAACCCGAGGGCCATGCCGTGGATTTCTTAGGCTGCGGTCTGCAACGATACTATAAATATCGATCGGTAAGTTCGGTTCAGGCATTGATCTGTGCAGTGGAGCACTGTTTTAATGTGAGTGACGGAGGCATTGCGACAAACATCAGCACGGTGTGTGACGATCAGATGCCTGCCCTTCTGGCACCGACTAGGACGGGCTTCTTAGAAACAGTGCACAACAGAGGTAAGTAGGAGCAGGGGAGCAGGGCGTGGCAGCCTCAGTCTCAAGACATGTTGTCTGCTGGTACCACGAGGACTTTGGACTGCATTTTTCGAAGAATGGCACTGCCCAGCACCCGATTCTGGCCATTCCTTGACGAAGAATATTTCGAAGACTGGCTGATTGTGTTGGCTGATGGATGGTGTTGAATTTTTTTTGGCAGCAAGAGGTCGTGGCTCTGTAATTAGTAGGTGGCGCACCGAGAATGCACGGAACGGAAGCAGCGCTTTTCTCTGATGCAAGGAGTGGAAGGACATCCTCGAAACATCGCTTCGTGGAGCGCGTGAGGGTCGCAATCTGCGCATGGCCGAACCTTGACTGCTATGCTCGACAGTTGGAAATCCGGTTTTACTGCTGCACATAAGCAAACACGAGTCGAAGGTGTGCAGGTTAATGCTTAAACGCACTCATTGAAATAAACCAGCTCAAAGTCCCGCGTGCCCAAGGAGATTGGGTCCGGTCCTCACGCAATTTGGGCCATGCGTGCCTCGCCGGCTTTGTGACCTCGCCTGCCAGAAACCACAGCTAGAGTTGGAGGTTCACACCTATACAGTACCTGAAGCGCAAACATCAAATCTCCAAGCAAAGCATCCGACTTGTCGTGCTCACATACACGGGCGAGGGTTCACCGCTGGATCTTGCAATTGTCACACCGGTGCAAGTACGTAGGTTTTGTGCCCACGGAGTGCGTGTGCAGCCAGAACACGAAATCCGAAAGCCTTTGCGTACATCTGCTTTCCTGTCGGCGGGTCAGCCAGTCCTTACCAGCTGCAAATGATGGGTTGCGGTCGCAGTGGCTTTGGCATTTTTGTTTCCTCCGTGGCTTTCATTCCCAGACCCAGCGAGGTGCTGCGAAAGCCTTTTTGCAACACGCAGGGCCCGAAGTGGGGTGCGAACTTCTCCTTGTGGAGCCATTCGACTTAGGAGACTGCTTCGGGTGGTAAGATCGTGCACAGACCACTCACGGACGAGCTCCCTTGCATCAGTAGCGGCCGTAGTACAGGCAGCTTTCTCTGAAATTTGATGCTTGTGTCACAGGAGATGGATCTCAACTTGGCGAACACATTGCTCGGAACTTGCCGGAGCTTTGACCGCACCCAGAAGCGCGGCTGGTGCTTCAGCTAGCTCCCTCTTCGAGCATCCTTGTGCAGACATGACAGGAGAATCGGTGCAAGTGGGTGGTGGAGACAGACCCGGTGGAATCTGGCAAGCAACTGCAGGCCGCTTCCAACCCATCTCAAACCTAAAACGCACACGTGGGGCCGTCTGGTCGCCGAGGCAATTCTGGGGTCTGGTGACCCTTGGGATCTCGTTGACATCGACGTACAGGGGGGAGAGCCCCTTGGTTGCGTTGTTCGTATCAGAACATTGCACCCACGAAGATCACCTCAGGCATGCTATGCTGCGGGGCATGGCGCCTTGGCTTGTGGGCCGTGTGCGTCGTCTTCACATCTCTACGCATTCACGCCGGATTCACAGCGACATCCTTCGCTGGCTGCAGCTTGCCGGCTGGACGATCCTTGCTCAGTTCACCTTCCTGCTCATCGGTCGCAACTTATAAGTCTTGGAAACACAAGCGTCTCCCGTTTTGAAAGATTTTTTGCAAGAGATGTGAGCAAGCGGATGGCGAGTGTAAACATGCCACTACACTATCCATAGCTCAACCTATGAGAAAAGTCGGAGTTTCAGCCAGGATGGCACCCTTCGGAAAAAAGGCGGCACAGAGCGAGAGAGACAGAGCTTTGAGGACTTAACCTATCACGACTTCGTGTGGAGACAAGCTTGCAGTCTGTAGAGAAGCTCGCTGCAACCGTGCCCGCCCTTCCCAAACGCTTAAAGTCTAAAGTTGTCTACGTGCCTCGTTTTCCGTTGCTAGTCGTGTTGGTTGGTTCACGTCGCAGTGAAAACACATACTTTAAAAGGCTAGGTCGAAACAAGTAGGACCGTACTCGTATCGGTCTGAGAGAAAGAGAGGTGTTCGGTGTGGATGCCCGCGTCTGGTTCTGCTTGCTTCTGCCGCTCGGCCCCTGCCACACGGTTTGCGGCTGAAAGGAGGGATTTGCGACTCATCAGCCCTCACCTGTCAGCTTGTTGTGTTGTTCTGCTGTGGGAATCGCCCTCATGAAAACTCCTTTCAGAGGGGCTCTCGCCCCTGTGGCATTGGGACAAAAGGCGGGCAGCTTCGTAGCTCCCAGTGGCCCCACGTGCCGTTGTTTCAGCTATGATTGTGTTGTTGTCGAATTTGCATGTGCTGATTTGTTGAAGCTGGGCGTCGAGTGAGCTCTAGAATCTCTAGAACTCAGTCTATTGCTGGTTGAGAGTATACGTAGCTTGGTGGACAAGTCGTCGAATAGCCTTATATGCTGGAGTTGAAACATTAAACTGAGCTTTAAAACGTGTGAGGTCTGCGGCCGGGCCCAAGGAAGTGCCACTGGGGCCCTTCGTGAACTGTGATGGACACATCAGCGCAGTGCACACTTCCACCGAGGAGAAAAATCGGGAGTGCGGAGACGATGCTTGAACCGCTTTGCCTGCTTTCGGGTAATCGCGCAGGTGTGAAACTAATGTGAGTTTATCAGAGCTCCGTGACAAGCAAGGATCGCACCCTCGAGCTGCCCGTGGCTCAGCTGTTGCCAATTCCAGATCTTCTGATTCTGAATCTCTGCTTGATCGCGATCTCAACGCTGACCGCTCGCCAACAGCAAACGGACCACGACCTGTTTCTTCCAACCTCGCTCGGCAGGGCAATATACCCCTCGCGAAGATGGCTATGTGCCATGTTCACTCAGATGCGAAGTAGTGACGATAATTAGGGAATCCTTCAGGGGATGGGCTCGAAGGGCTATGTGTATGACCTAGCACTCCCCAAGTCTCCTTAGTACTCCTTGGACTCTACACTCTCCCCTTGAACACCTTAAGGATCCTAGGCTTCCCCACCATGTCTCAAGGGCAAGCAAGGGGAGTTGTGTCCACGATGAGGCTAGTTTCGGCAAGCAGGGCCGCAACACGAGACTCAGTTGGCTCTGCCAGGATTGCTGATCCGCAGAACTCGGGGTCTGTATTTCAGGCCGATGCTTCATGTCACATATGGAACAAACCAGTCAGATGGGACGCTGACCGTCCGGCAGCGGACATTGACAGAAGTGCAGTTCGGAAGGTGGCATCCCTGTACAACTGTCTGCAGATGCAGGCAGGGAAGTTGGATCAAAATGCGATGCAGACCTGCATGGTTGGAAGCTTCTCAGGAACCAGGAGATTCCCCGGAGGACGGCGTAACTTGTGGGGAGCTTGGACGAGCTTTGAAAGTAGGCGGAGTTCGCTGGCCGCACGTCGATGCTTCAAAGCCTCGCAGGCTATGCCGAGACTACGACTCAGGGTTCAGCAGCTGCCTCAGCTGCTCACAGCGCTCACAGTCTGTGGAGGCTTGGATGATCTTGAAGTGCTTCTTGAGGTTTGCGCAATAGCCTGTCCGGAATTCCCGGCCCGTTTTGCACATACTGAGTAGTGCTGGGGCGCCGCAAAAAAATCACGCTCTAGGGCTGTGTGAGAGCTTCGGTTCCAGCAGTGGTTCTCTCTGGAGGGCGTCTTGGGCAGCCGGAGCATGCAAGGGCAGGTGCTGCATTCTGCAGACAAGTCTCGCCGCAAACCTGGACAAGCCCGATTAGGTCGGTGGCAGCAGCAAGAACTCGAAATAGATGATCGGAGCATGGCTCGAAGCGAGAATGTTGGTTGGCCCCAGTGAGCTACAGGGTGAATCATGGTGAATCACTGCGCGTGGGCGCGAAGTAGTGGCTCACGCTCCAAATCGTCGTGTGCTGCCTCAAGTGTAAGCATCGAAGAATCGAGCTCCACTTGGAAGGGGAGCAGGTCCTGCGTAACTGGCCCGAAGAGTTCTGATGTTGAGGCTTTGAAGAAGGGGACACCCTCCAGACTGCAAAAGCGTTCAGGGGCAGCTGGGGCGAAGGTGTGTCATGCCGCGAAGTACCCGGATGATTTCAAAGACATCCCTATAGCAGCACCACAGTCGGTTGTGAAGCGCCCTGCCTTCGCAATTTCGCTAGCACGCAGATCCTGTTTGATTCCGCGTAACAACGTGAAAGTTCGGTGATGTACGGCTGCCAATGCCAGGCTGCCACTGTTTTCCGGAATTACTTCCTGAATGGGGTTGGGCAAGGGCGTGGTCAGCAGGCCTGTCTGGGCAGGATTGGCCGGGCTTCACTTTCAAGAGAGTCGCCAAAGCCTAGCCGGCCTAACCTCCCTGAGCCGGGCAGATGGACCTGCTCACGCACGTCGGTGATCTGGTTGGCAATCGCAAAGAAGGAGACTCGGCTGTCGAGCCTGCTCGGGATCTGACCTGCAACATCGGGCTTCGGAGGCTTTTGCCTAGATGCTCTTGTGTTCGAGAAGCCTTCTGCAGGATACTGGATCGTGAGGAATGGCTTCATGATGCCCAGGTTCCGCCCTTGCGCCAAACAGCAAGATTTGCCTTCTGAAGACGTGAACAAGCTGGGGCCCAGTATGGTGAAGTCTGCAAGGCCTGGGGGAAAGCTCATAGATCTCGGTGAGAGTCGGCCCCTCAATCGGGGTCGAAAACAAATGTAGCTTGCAGCGTGTCTTTGGAGAGCTGCCCGGAGCAAGGGCTCTTGCTAACTGTCCCAGGGCTTGCCAGTGATCAAATTCTGGCAGATGACGTGGCCAGTCGAGTTCGAGTAGGGGTTATGCTCTCAGACAATGATTTATGCACAGTCTACTGCATACGGTTTGACCGAGTGTTCGCTTGCAGGTTCACTGGGACACACAGGTGCTGCTTGACGACATTTCTCACAACGTCTGTCAGGCGTCCTCTTTTGCTTGATCAAGCCGGAATTCGGGAAGTGCTGCGAGAGTGACTGAGCTGCGCAGGTGTGTTGCTCTGCGCCCGCGGTTGCGTTTTCCAAGATTGTGAAGGCATCGCAGTGATCCGGAAGTGGGTGCTAGTTGAATGCAGGTCACTTTCAGGTCGGGTCGGACAAAGCTTGAAACGGTTTCAGCGCACAGAGATTCTGCCTGTAGGCGCAGCATTGGGCGCCATTTGCCATCAGTTTGCTGACTGGTGCGGGGCCCCGGCCGGTCTCCAGCAGACGAGCAGTATAGAATATTAATCGAATCCCAGCTTGGCCTACCGCGGCCCGGTCTCAGGTGCCTATGCCCTTGGCTCAGCTTGAGGGGGTAGGAGGGGAGGAAGGGATCCGTGGACGTGCTGAGCCTCCTCGCATAACTGGTGGGTTTGCTTCAGCAGCCCATGTCCTAACGTATCAGTGGAGAGGATTATCTCATTCTGTAAAGCCTCAATGAGACTTCCGTACTAGAGCTTGTAGCTTGGTGCCAAAGCCGAGGATGCTACGCTGGCCGCAGGTGCAATCCTGGCGGCACGGCAGGAAACTCAGAGGTACTGATAGCAAGTACCACGGCACACGAACGCCAACGGCCGAGACGTCATGGCCATCATGGCTTCATTTTCGCCCGGGTTCGGGCCAGGCGGCGGCAGCGCGTCAAAGTTTTTCTCACCGCAATCGGAGCTGGAGCTCTAGGCTCGGCACGGAGTCCGCGGAAGTTTCCACAAGAATTCCAAGGTCCTAGTTCCTGGTGCATGCGCTCCTCGCTCCATGCTCGTCACCCTTAGGAAGGAATACTGTTGAAAGGGCGGTACTTCGGACGTTATTACTGCGCCTGCCTTTTTGCAAGTTTCGTACCACTCCTGATCGAGACTGTCGACTTTCGTCTCAGGCTTCATGGTGTCTACTAGATGCGTCAGGTGCAGGAGGTGCAGGCTGCCTCAGAAGAGGAAGGGTCGCATGAGGGAAAGCAGCGAAGCCTCGAAAGGTGCAACCTGGGAAGATGGTTTATTCTCGTGTGTTTTTGTATTTGCAATCATGCCCGTATGTTGTTCAAGATCTCCCCCTTCCTTAGTTTGCGAAGTTCCGCAGTGAAAGGCTCTGCCAGCCGAGTAGATGGCAAAGCCATGCAGAGCCTCTAGAAAGTGCGAAAACTGAGACAGATGCCAACACCACATGCAGGCGGGAGAAATTAACGAAGGTGGCCGAACTAGTTTGTTTCAGCGAGAGTTGCAAAATGGATCTCTGCAGCTCGCAATGCGCTGATCCTTCGCCTTCTCTCTGGGAGCTTTTTAGCGCTCGTGGAGCGGTTGCGCTTTGCATAGGGTGTCTCGGGGAAGCCTGCGTAGCCACCATCCGGAGGCAATCGACCCAGCTGGATCTACCAGGCTGTTGACAGAGCTTGGGGCCCAGCCGGGTTTGCTATCTTTTTCTGTCGGCGGGGAGACTGCCTGAGGTGTTGGAAGCGTATAAGTCCGCTCCTTTGGTCGGTGCCCCTGAAGCTGATTCCACTGAGCCGGACACGAGACAGCAGAAATCGCTAAGCGCTAAGCAAAGCCGGACGCACCTAGGACGTGTACTTGATCCACTTTTCCCGAACAGACAAGTTTGAGAGGCTGCAGGCCTTGCTGAGATCCCGGAGCAGGAGCACGTCGAAAGCGCATGTGACGCGCTCTGAATGCCAGGGCAGCCGGCCAGAGCCGGTTCCACGGAATCGAAGCTCGCTGGACGATAGGGTGCGCCTGGCCCAGTGCAGGGCAGCATTGATCTGGGCTATTGACTCTGTTCTGTGATAGCGTGCCTTTCATGAAGTGGTCGCGGCCATCACATTGCAGGTTGCTGCTATGCAGAAAGAGGCAACCCGGCGCTGCTTTCAACATTTGCGGATTCGCTGTTCCGAGTTCGCTGCGCAATCGCTGCTAGGTTGGAGAGGCAAACATGCTGCACAAAACGCAGCGCTATCCGATGCGCGGCTCTCGAAGTAGCGTCGGGCTGTGCAGCCTGCTTGGTGTTTGCCAGGAGCTGTGCGGGCAGAAAGCATGAAGCATTCCTAAGTAACAGTCAGAAGTATTGGCGGAGTCTGCGGTGTCCTAGCGCGTGGACTTCTTTCCGGTCAATTGAGGATGGGCTCGCCGACCGCTGCACGTGACAACATGAGCTTGATGATCGCCAAGGCAGATGCTATTCCTTTGCTTGCGGACTAGCTGTGGAGTTCTTGCGGCTCAGCTCATGCCTCACATCGTCATGCCCGCCTTCTCACGAAGGCCTCACTGAGGCTCGAAGGAGGCTCTTCAATCAGGCCCAGCGATATTCTTGTAGCTCTCAGGTGCCATGCCTCATGAAAAGGGCAGCTGGCGCCACTGGTTTGCAGCAGGTGGCAAGCTTCATGGGCTTGAAAGTGCTCTAGTATCCGCACAAGTATTCGGCATTCTCTTCGCACCGCCGGCCTTGCAGAGCCTTTTCTGGACGAATGCGGTCGTCCAGCTGGGGATCTTCCTGCCTGTCGTGCAACTCCCAATTTTTCTGACAGGGAAAATGCTCTACGTTGACATTGGCTGGCCTTCTGGACTTGTTGCGATTGGAGCAACATCGCTTCTGCTGGGTGCTGGCTTCTGGGTTCGCAAATGCTTAATAGCTACATGTTTCCTGCTGCATGGGGGCCGTATGGCCTTGGGCGTGCTGGTCATGTGGGGCCAGTCATCCAACTTCACCTATCGCTTTCAGGAAGATCTTCCGAGGTACCAGTATGCAAAGCATAAGTGGGTCAGCATTGAGGGCATGCCCGAAGACACCTGGTGGCTGAAGATGCAGTTGGACTCCTTTGGCCAGGGAATCTGCAACATCATCATTCTTTGTGTGCCTGCGTTCTTGGCAGCCAGCAATCCAGATGCGCACATCTCGCGGGTTGAGTGGCTGGGCTTCGCCATTTGGGCCGCGGCTTGGGTTTTTGAGAGCTTGGCGGACTACCAGAAGATGCTTTTCCTGGAGGAGTGCAAAAAGCTTAAGAAGAGCGACGCTACGTTGGGGCTTGCACCATTCGACAAGTACTTCTTATGGTCTTGGTGCCGGCATCCCAACTATTTCGGCGAGTGGTGCGCCTGGGTCGGTTTGGCAATAGCTGCCCTCCCATCTCTCCTCAACGAGAATGTCGTTCCACAGCAAGGCTTTTTCATTTTCCGCATCTATATGGTGGGTTTGCTCATGCTCCCGCGAGTGCTATATGACTGCTTAGTGCATTGGACAGGTGCTGGCCCGGCCGAGCATTTCAGTGCCAAGAAGAGGGCGAGCTACCGAGAATATCAAGAGAAAGTACGCTGCTTTTTTCCATTTTCGTTACCAGGCATAGATAATCACATGCAGGCAGGATGGCCCACGTTTGAGCCTGCAAATTAAGGCATTAGGATTCAGACAGCGCGCTTGGCCCTGGCTGAAAAGGTTGCCTCCTTGATGTAGCAGTCCTTTTCAACAGGGTTCGTCAATCGAAGGTCTGAGCCGCTCTGCTGACAGGCTTTTGCATATTTTGACTCCAATGGCCTTGCCCTTGGTTCCGCCACAGCTCACGTGTTGCCAGCGGCAAGGCTAAACAGCAGTGGTGCTAGACCCCGCTTCGAACAAGCACGTTGGTAAGTTTAGCACCGCGCGCCTCCGCGTTGCATCGGAATCGGAGGCACGGGTCCGAAACTGCTCCGTGTTTTTGAGCCGTTAGGCACAGTGTGGAACAGAGTTCAACTAGAAGGTTGCAACATTTAAAAATCCACAGGCAGAGTTTGGTTGTTTCCGTTCATAGAAGCAGGCGCCGGTCTATCGAGCGGATCCGACTGTGCAAAAACTTTCACGAATTTCTGCTGTGTCGCGGGGCTAGCAGCTTCCACACAAGTATGATCGGCTCTGTTCTAAGACTGAGGCGACGGGGTCATCGACATCGACGAATGCACCTACATCCTTAGAAGCCTGGATCCGGTTGCCTGGCTTTGTTTGTTGAGTAACTTTCCTCGTAGAGGTTGCTTCTTTGTGCAGGGACCCGGCAGGAGCCACAGGAACATGCACGACACCATTGCCTGTGATGCCATGTGGTGAATCGAACATTAGAGTGAAAAGTCTTTGCGCATTTGCTTCACGGGTTGTGGGTGCTTCATCACTACTTCATCCGTTGGCGCGGGAACCTTGACAGGCTTTCTTCACACAGGAGAAGGTGCGACAACTCGCGGCCCAGGCCGCTCAAGGGATGTTCGCCAACACAAGAGGGATATCGACAGAAGGTGCATGTTCAACAGTGACGGTACGGTCCTACGCCTGCCCTGCGAGAGGCAGATGCGGACTCCGATGGTTACATACACTATGCCGAGTTGTTGACCCAGTATTATGCACCGTTGCAAATGGAAAGCGAATGCGTTCAACTGTTGTGTACGTGTATGAGCCTGTCAGGTTCATTGCGTGGATCTTGGACTCAGACTCAGTGATGACCTCGCACCTGTCTCAGCTCTTTAGGCTGCTGGCGATACACTGTCTAGGTGCATGCGCAGCTCTTCGGACCATGCGCGAGACAGTTGAACTGCCAAGGCGAGTGTTGGCGGCCTCCTCTTTTGCCCCATGGCTCTCAAAACCGGGTTTGACCGGGCGATTCGGACCGTAGAGTTGGAGAGACCGTTTTCGGGCTTTTCAGGCATTGCACATGCCAGCAGTGGCCGGCCGGCCGGCTGTACAGTCTCATTCCAGAGCCTGGATACCTCGAGGTTGCAGAGAGCATGCCCGACGGCATCCTGCCAGAGTCACCTTTGAAGCTTGCCCGAGCCCAAGTGGTCTTGTTTCTGCTAAGCTGCATAATAGGCAACCCCAAGACGAAAATCTTCATCCGGGTATTCACAGCTTGGCGCTATGCGTCTCAAGACTTGCTTATGTTCAAGAACTGCCTCAGATCCTTGAGGCATCGAGAGCTCGACCCGCGACCAGCGGCGAATTGTCGCGGTGACCTCAGCCGCTGCAGCCCATGGATGCTGTATGCTGCTTATTATTACCATCAGTCTTCGATAACTTACTATCTGGAATTATTGTTAGTAGCAGCAGTAGTAGTAGTAGTAGTAGTAGCAGCAGCAGTACACTATTTTTACTGTAATGTAGTAGTATTATGCAGACTGCATAGGGCGCATAGAGGTTCCTTGTGATTTGGGAGCGACATGCTTGGGGAGATGTTGACGGATAGCACAGACCAAGGTTCTTCTGAGCAGCTAGAATTGGCCTGTGCCGCAGCTTGCCTTGGCCTTTTTGGGCTACGATGTTGTTATTGACGGCTGCATGCAAATCCAATGTTCAATGTAGGATACACTGACGACAGCTTCGTAAACCCGCGACAAACTGTGTTGGTTTGATGACCTAAGTTGACCAGGATGTGACGGCCCGGAGTGCCGTGCCAGACACCTCATCAAGAGCAGTGGGGTGGTCAATGACCACCGTACGGCTGTTGGTTATTCCGAAGTTATTCTCATGGATTGCAAGCGAAGCAGGGACGCACGTGCGAACCCGACGAAGCCCTCCACACCCCACAGACCACAAACCTTCACCAAGCTTCGCTGCTTCGAAGAATATTTCGAGCACAATGGCAAGCAGAATTTGGCCAGCACGACGCCTGCTCTGAAGGTCCGTGCTCGAAAGGTTGCATGTTGATACCAACACGAAAGTAGTGAGCATGCTGCCGCAGCTGGCTTTTTGAGTTTGCTGACCATGTTGCTGAGCACATGCACAGCAATTGCACAGATGCTCTCGAATTCACTCCTTTGTCCTTACGGGCGCTACATGATACCTGCTGGGCAGCTCGAAAGATCAGACATGTCATCCTGAGCTGGCAGCACATTGACATGACACGGTAGCGGTCACATGAGAAACGGAGGCGTATGTGTTCACTCCCTATTTTTTCCTTTCGCTCATTTTTTTCCCCATCCCCTTGGTCCCCTGGTCCCTTTCCCATGTCCTTCTGGCCCCCTGGTCTCTGGGTCTTCTCGGTCCTGGTCCTCTGGTCTTCTGGCCTCCTGGCTCAGCCCTGGTCTGCTCCGCTGGTCCACGGAGTTCTTCCTGCCGGTTGGTCCCCTGCTTTGGTCCCTTCTCTGTCTGATCCTCTGATTCCGCGGTTGCCCTGATCCCCTGGTCCCCTGGCCTCCCCAATCCCACCTCGGCCGAAAGGAATGAATGAAGATAGAATCAAGGAAAGAAAGACCCTGAATCCTATGCGGGCTTCGTCCTAGCTAGGCGGGAGGCGAAAAAACCCTAAATAGGGCTCGTCCTGGCTAAGCAGGAGGGAAACATCACTGAACCAAACACGGACTAAAGGAAAGAAAGAAACAGGAAGGCTATAAGCAAAGAACAAAGAATCACTAAAAAGCAGAAGAGAGAGAAGTCAATACAGGCGGAAGCAAAGATGAAGAACGAAAGACAGAACGCCAAAGATGCAGGAACAATGAAGTTAATAAAGGGGGCCATTTTCTTTTAGGAGAATTTTGGTTTGTTTTTGTCGATTTCCATGCATTGCTCCTGTTTCCCCCTTCTGCCTGCTGCTTTTGCTTGCTTGCAGTTGTCTGCTTGTTTGTGCTTTTGCTTTTCTGCTCCTCTGCTTGTCTGCTTCGCTTTCTGTTCCTCCGTGTATTAGCTTTTGCGCTTTTCTTTCTGCCTTCTGCCATCTTCTGCCTGTGTTTGCTTTTCGTTTTCATCTTGTTCTTGCTTCTATGTCTGCTTTTCAGTTTTTCCGCTTCTCTGCTTTTGCGCTTCGCTCTTGTGCTCCGCCGCTGTTCTGCTTTTCCGCTCTTGGTTGCTTTTTGTTTTTTCTTGTTGTTGCTTGCTTTTGTTTTTTCAGCTTTTCTATGCTTCTTTACTTTTCCGCTTATCTGCTTTTATGCGAACAGCGGTGATAGCAATAATGAAAATGGGACTTTTGCCAATAATGCCTAATAGTAACAATAGGAAGAATAACAATACTTGTGTGAATACTACTACCGCTAGCACGAACAGCACAGCGAACGGGAAAGCCACTACCACAACCACAACAACAATCTCAGAAGCAACAACAGCAGCAGCAGCACCACCACCACCACCACCACCACCACCAGCGCCCACAGTGCTGCCTCAGCCTGCGAGAGGTTACCGCCACCCTTGTGTTCCGTTTCGTGTGTGAAAATTTGCAAAGTGGGCCTGCGTCCGCCCTCCCCCCACATCCACCAAAAAAATAGAGTAGCAAAACAAAGACAAAACTCCACCCATGAGAAAACCGCCAACCCAAGCATGAGCAGGTCTTCTTGGTCGAAAAGGTTTTTGGATCTGTGCCTTCCCAACAAGCAAGGGCACCTCAACGTGAAGGGCTGCAAGGCTATCTTGAAGCGCCATGAAGCAAAGGGCATGAGCCATGGTTCCAGGTCGACGGTGGTACTGCCGAAGGCAGCCTCCAGCTCGCAAGGCATCACGGCACATCACGGCCTGTGCCTTCCAGCGAGGAAAAAAGCGTGCTGTGGATGCGAGAGAACTCTTCCTGCATGGCATTGAAATCCGAGCTCTCATTCTCATTCTCTCTCTCTGCTCAGCTTCTGGGCTCGAAGTTGGAGTCTTCGGGTCGCGGCATAGAGGCGCCTCTACTGGCCTCGGAGGAGGGCGACCCATGGTTGAGAGAGCCGAGAGACTTCAAAGAAGCTCTCGATACCACGAAACCCAGAGCAGGATGCCGTCGGCACTGCTCTCGTCGGCGCAAAAAGACATCATTGGTTCGCAGCGTGGGGCTGAGACGAAAGGCGGCCTTGGTGTAGTAGCAAGCTGAATAGCCGAGCACTTGCTCTTTGGTCTGTGCATGTCTGTGCTCCAAGGGCAAGAGACTACACTGCCTTGGTTCGCCAGGCCAGCGACAACACGGCCCTGAAGTGACACGAGAATATAGATGCACATGGCGAGTTTCGCCTGTTCAGGTGAAGGACATCTTGCCACAGTTCAGCGACGACCAGGTGTGCGATGCCCTCGTGCAGTCGAACGAGGACAGCTTTTCAGTTACTTGCTTTCCTCGCCGTCTTGGGCCTATCCATATGCCTGATGTCCTCATCAGGACATCAGCCGAGCGGTGGAGCTGCTCATGAGCCCAGCACATAGTCTCGCGTGATTCCTTTATCTGCCTCACATTTGCAGCGTATGGATACAATGTCCTGGCCTCGCGAGGTCAGCAGCCCACCTCTAAGCAGTCCAAAAAGAAAGAGAAGCACAAAAACAGAGAGGCCAGGCTCTCGGAAGGTGCAAAAAACGGCGATGACCTTTGCTTTCGTCTCAGCCTTCCAGGCTCGAGCGCAGGCCGAGGCCGTTGTGATGGGCCGGGGCGTGGGGAGTGCTTCCAAGATACATTCAGGTGAGTTTTTGCAGAGTCTTTGATCACAGTCTCACGAGATGAAGCTGGAAGACTGTAGTGGTGAGGGTATGACGGCGATGCAAGGCCATAGGGGAAACTGTTCTCGACCGGCATCGGAAAGCTCGGAGTGTCCATCGGGTTGGAGGTTTGAAATGGCCAGCTCGCACAGGGAAATCTCAGCTCGCAGCACCGGGAGTGTAGTGTTTGGCAGACTGCAGGCTGAAACAGCAGAGGCTGCCTTCGAGTCAGGGCCTTGACCTTCGATTCCCACTGCACCAAACGCCGTCACATCGCACCTGTTCGAGGGCTTCGGGACACGATGAAAAGCAGTATGCAGACGATAGGGGCTCAGAACCAGTTCTGCGTGCGACAGGGCTCGACACGCTCGGTTGACTCGCTGATGGTCTGAGGAGGCAGCCAACGAGCCCAGAGAAGAAAGGCCGATTCGTCGGTGGAATCTTATCTGCTGACCGGAGCTGACTTGTACGGCCGGCAGGCCTAAGACTGCAGCCGAAAAAGAGGCCAGGGCGGCCAGGAAGCCAAAGAAAACAATGAGCTTTGAGAGCATGGGCCCTGAATGTGGCGCAGGCAGCCAAGCTGAGAAAGAAGCTGCGAGAGATAGAACGAATTGAGGAGCACAGCTGCAAGATGCTAGAAATGTCATGCGATTCATGCATGAGAAGTAACAGTGAAGCCCCGGATGACAGGATAAGGTTGCGAGGGGCGAGAAAGCCTAAGACTCAGCTTGTCCCTCTCCGTGTTCCCGTGCCAGCTGATCCTCGGACAAGCGAACGCTGAGACGTTCCTGTCTACTGCGCTGCGAAAGACCTCCAAGGTCGACCCCTTGCAACTACCCAAGCTTGACAAGAAGCGAGAGGCTGGCACGAGTAAAGAGACATGAACTTGTCCAAGCTGCATAACGAAGTCGAACACACTTGTCTGCAGCGCGTCCTCAGACCGAAGTAGAACTCCGCGCAGCAGAACACAAAATCCTCCAAGAAGAGGAGGCAAACCTCATGTGTGTGTGTGTGTGCGCCTCAATGACACTACCCGTCGCTCTGGATGTGGCTTGCAAGGAGCGAAGACAGCAAGAGGAGCAGCTCAGGAAGCAGGAGGACTCCGCAACGCCACCTTGGGAGTTGGGATGCCCCTTCTGTATTGTCTCCTGCTTCTACCGTGCCCGAGGAGTGGGAGCGCCATCGCGAAGCGCAAGAAGCAGAGCGACGGCGGCAGGAGCTCTCGAGAATTTAGTGAAATTTCTTCTTGGGGTAGTAATACCATTTTACATATGTTATAAGGGCATATAACATATAATATCTGCTATGTTGGTTGCTGGCAGCTTCCGAAACCTGTTCAGACATGCATGGTCACAGGAAAAGACGGTTCCGAGCCACATCAGGAAGAATTGGCCAGCAGACTCGCAGGTACTAGCGTCGCTAGTGTCGTGTCTGTAGGATGCTGGAAGTTTAGCAGACGAGGGCGGAGGATGCACTGCAGATAGGGGAGCTCTGGATGGGGTGTATTCAATAGTTTGGCGGTTCCCCCTGAGGAAGACGCCTACCAGCATCAGGCTCACTGGATTTGAAGGGGGTATGACGCAGTCAGCTGCAAATGGTTCTTTTATTTTGCTTTTTTGCCACAGGCTGCAGCAAGGATTATGCCCGAGCCAGTGAGGCAGCATCCGCAGTTTCCTCGGGAAGCCTTGCTGTACACGATCTGAATTCTTCAGAACTCCGTGAAGCGAAAGGTCGTGGTTAGTTTCCGGGGAATCCGAGATTGCCCAGCCGGCGTCCGAGGCCGGTGCATCGCTAGTATGGAGGTTCGAGGCTTTGCCTTTCCTCGGCCTCTTCTCTTCGATAGGCTACGCCAAACCCGCATCAGGCCAGCTTCACGTGAATTTGTACTTATGTGGACTCAACACACGGTACTGATCTTGTGTTTCATCGAGGGGCCGGTCAAGATTGCTGACGCAAGTCCCTGCTACTGGTTGGAATCTGGAAGAATTGAGCCCAACCATGATCGCCAGAACATGCGGAACGAGCTCCTGAACATGCTGCACAAAGCACCTCAGGCAGCCTGCCTTTGGAACCTTGCTGAATGATGCTGAACGTGTCTGGGGGGGAGAGGTAGCTTCTGTGAATCGTTGGTGCTGGTGCAGTTAGTGAGCCAAGCTTGAGCTCGAAGGGGTGCAACATCTGAGCAGGAAAGCAAGGGCATGGGCTTCACGCAGTCTGAGCAGACAGTCGCGGACTCGGTGGGCGGTTGATGACCCTTTGAAGAACTCTTGAGCCCATAGCACATGGGACTCTAGGGCACTCGTGACATATACTCTGCAACGGATTTGCTCCTTGCTGTGCATCTTAGGCGAACCACCTCGGTGGAGGCAGGAATCCACAGATTTGCATGTTGTCGTTTGAAACTGTTCAATATATTGTTGCTGTGATCGGTGATCGCACGCGTCGTTGGATCCGATAGATTTGCATCGGTTCAGAAAGCCGCCTGCTAACCATGCAGATGACTCAGACCATTCAACAAATCATGACAAAGAGAAACCAAAGTGGTGGTGCACGCGACGGAGATCTCCCAAGTACGCCATGCTAGCGGCCGGTGGCCTAGGCGAAGCTGTCGGAATCCTCAATATGTGGGTGCTGGAGCTTCTTTGGCCAGGGGTCACCTCAGGCCACAAGCCCGGCACATCGACGAAAAGGGAGGATAAGAAAAGTAGCCGAACTGGGCAACCCCGACGCGCGATCGCAGATGTTTGTGTCAACATGTGCGTACGTGCAAGCGTATTAAACTGCGGAATAATTCGCACATGCCGCACATATTATCATACACATTCTTAGCTGTAGTTCGAGGATGTTCTAGGCATCCTGGGGCAGCGGGTCCTCGTGTTGCATGCCGTCCAGCCGTCCAAGACTTCAAGACAAGCATGTTTCGACGGAGCTCCTGCGATTTGGCGGCTGGGGCCGGGTGCGCTTGCAGGCTCCTACACGAGGGGCCCGCCTCGGCCACAGCTTCCGGAGCACGCGTCACTTGCGAACGGGTTTGGCCGTGCCGATGGACGCTCTCTGAATGTGATTAGAAGTTCTGGTAGCACGAAGGCAGCAAACGAACGGAGAAAACTACCGTCACAGCTACAGGTTCAGCACCAAGCATGCCACAGGATGTCAATGTCAGTGCTCGCTGCCTCCCGCTCTTTAACCTGAGAAGCGAGACTGAAAGCATTCCGTTCCTGGGAGCCGAGGTCAGAACAGCAGGCGCCAGAGTTGCGAATTTCCCATTAGGTCAATAGCTTGATTTGGACAGGGCACTCTGATATGATAGGTTGCAGATTCCTGGCGCCAGGCATACCAGCGGCCCTACAGCCAGTACAACAGCTACGAGCACTATGGCCAACAGTACGGCAGTCAACACTATGGCAGTCAGCAGTACGGCCACCAGCAGTCGAGGTGCATGCTTCGTTTTAGTTGCGTGATGTTGAGGTGAGTGCCAGTGGGATTGCCCGTCTCTTGCAGGTATCATGACTGGAAGCAAGAGGATTGGCGGCAGCGTGGCTCTTGGAACAAGGACCGTGGAAGCTCAGAACTCTTATTTAGCTGTTGTCTCGAGTCTAGAGTAAGATGCTGCTCATTCGTGTTACTGAATATGAGGCAGAGAAGGACCCCCCCATTTCGTGGACGATTTTTTCCCGACAACTGCGCGATATCGGACCCTGTTTTGACGGAATAACTTCAGAAGTGAAGATAAGACGGTGAATGGTTGTGTCGCCCGGGTGAGGCGTGGACAAGGGGTGAAGCGCGGTATCGGGCGCACGGGTGATCACGGGTGGGGCATGGAGTGGAGCACGATAGCGGGTGCGCGGGTGGGGCGTGGACAAGGGGTGGAACAGATCGGGTGCGTGGTGGAGGCGTGGACAGGGCGGGGAGCTCGATATCGGGTGCGGGGGCAGTGCATGCGGGAGGCGTGGACAAGGGGCGGAGTGAGAGGCAACTCGAAGATAGCCAAACGCGAGAACAAAATCGCACGGATGTCCCTTCTTGCATCACTTTGTTCGGTTGGGTTTTAGGGTCCCCGGCTTGACCTTGTTTTCCCGGGCCTAGAGGCACCTTCGGCGCTGAAAACCACATTGCAGTAAAGCTTGCAAGGGTTCCACACTCATGGTCCCATGGTAATTATCAGATTGGAAGACTATGCTGGAGGGGTGAGTGCCGAAATGACATTTGCAAATCGTGCATGTCCAGTGTCCCCACGAAATGCATCAGGAGGCCCCTCAAGAGAAGCCTCGACCAGAGCTTCCAGGCAAGAACGATGGGAGCTGAGCAGATGCCTTTGAGCAGGGGCACGATTACGTCATGGCTTTTTATCACACGGTCTGTGGATAACCGTCTGGTATGGCATGATACATTGTGTTGATAGGGGAAGGACTGCTCGAACCTGACCTGACAATATGCACAGTGGAGACCGCCAAGCATAGGTCAGTTCTAGCTAAAGCTTCTTACGTCTTGCAGAAACCATGAGAAATTCCATGCTAAAGCCACTGCTGCAATGCCAGAAGATGAAGCGCCGAAAGCAGACTGGGCGAACCTCTACTCCACGTGCGTCAGCTCAGTTGTTTGCAGTACGCTAGGCTGTTCGCCTGTTGAAGGGCTTATGTACTCGTAACTCAGGCAACTTGACATTTCAAGCATTCCGGCAGACAAGCGTGCCCCTGGCCCAGCCCCATGTGCACCTATTGGTTAAACTGCAGACCGACAGCGTAGAGGACTCGGCTTGAGTCTTGCGTCGTCCGTCCAACAGCGACACATGTGGACTCGTTTCCGATTTGCGCGAATCTGAGGCGGAGGCTGAGAGGATTGCCAAGGAGATTGAGCAGAACTCCGGCGGAGGCAAAACCTGCTCCTCATGCTGGACTCGACTTCAGCCTTGCGACTACGACCTAATGCCAGGAGATGGCTGGGATCGCCCAGATGCAGGCCCGGGAGTATATGCCCGTACCAATCGTGCACCGCACCTTAGCCCACCTCAGCCTTCTCATTCACTTCCCCTTTGCAGGCCGAGCGAACGGCAAGGGTCAGGGAGACTATGGTTTGCCCCTCAGCTGGCTCCAAGATGGGGCGCAAGGGGGGAGAGGGTCTGGAAGGTAAGAGGTTGGGGGGCCGCTGAAGAGGGAGATGGCTTGAAGATTAAGATGCCGATGTGTCTTTAAAGGTTCGAAAAATGGAAAGAGCCACGGTCAGGAACTCAGCCGAAGTGGCGCAGCAGGTGAGAGCGCAAGCATCGCAGCACCTGGAGGCAAGGGCAAAAGCAAGAAGGGTAAGGGCAGCAAAGGGAAGGCCCCTTACTGGAGCAAGGCCGATGTTGAGGGAAGCGGAGCTAGCGGTTGACTGACGAACAGGCGTCTGAAGGCCTCTAATTAACAGCAGTCAATGCCAGGATGGGCCCGGCAGATCCGAATGGCAGCCCAAGCACGAAGAATGGCAGCCGAAACACGAGGATTGGCAGCCCAAGGCCGAAGAGTGGCCAAAGGGAGCAGACTGGGTGCCTCAGCTGCAAAAGTTGAATTGGATCATCCTTTCTGTCCCAGTGGTCTTCTGCTCCGGTCGGATCAACTTGCCGTGACATGACAGGGACCTCCGGGTTTGTAGCCAAGCTCCCGCAGGCAAGGACATCCGCACCCCCTGCAGTAGTCTGCGTTTGCCTCATGCAAGCCTGTTGCTGCTGTGACAGCGCCAGGAGGCCGTGAAGTGTTCCACTGAGGCTTGACGGCCGAGTTTTCAGGCGCACGAGGATACCAATGCTGAGTTTGTAATCATAGTCTCGTAGTGATACTTGTTGGCGGCTTTCCGCAACGGTGTGTCCTCATGCGTCCGAGTCGCGTGACTGGCAAGAGCCACCTCTCCGTAGAAGCAACTAGCCACTGAAGACGTCATGCAGACTGCGATGGACTCGGTTCATATCGTCTATGTGACGCCGCTTCAACAGCGGTGCTCGTTCTATGCCGGTCACATTGTGATACTACGGCGTACTCGCAAATCCGCGGTGACTCAGCCCCAGAGACTGAGAGCGAGAAGGAGCCATATGCCAGAGACAGCCTCTCAACACAGGCGACGCCGACCCACAGACACCGACACAGACACGGCTACATTGCGGCTACATGGCAGGGTCATCCTTCGCCCTTGGCCGACTGGGCGCTGAGGATAGCCGATAGCTCCGAGAACCGGCAGCTCTCCAGAAGATGCATTCGCAGTTGTATTAACAAAAAGTGCGCCACCACACTTCCGATGTGAGTGGAAAGGAGAGCTGTCGCAGAGTGACGCAGCCTTCATCTGCAGGGCAGCTGTGAGCAAAATTGCTGACTGAAAAGGGATCGTTGTCTGCTGGTCTCCTGCAAGCCGACTTGCTACCTGCCATGAAGCTTCATCCGGTCGTCCTAAGCTGATGCTGGAGCCAGAGGCTCGAGAGGACTACTCCTGGCAGATGCAAAATCCCAGAAGCCCCGTCGAAGCATTGACATTGTAGAGCGCTCTTTCGCATCGTGTCAAATCCCTTCCTGGGTTGCAAATCCTTTGGCTAGCCTCTTGCCATGCAGTCATGCGGCTATTCGGCATATGGTGGCACCTTCATGTGCCGAGGGTGCATTTAGCAACTTCTTCCGAAAGTTGCACGCTTCGAGGTCTCCACTTCACAAATCACACAGTCGAAGCAGTTTTGCGATCTTTCTCTTGTGAGGAGCGGCTCCAATCTGACGTTTCTGTGAGCCCGTCTCAGGCAAGCCCGCTGTTGTTTGATATCGCCTGCGGCTGGAACCTGGCTACCTCTTGGCATTACTCAAGTGAAACAGCCCGCAGCTTTTGCTGCCTCCGTCCGGCAGGTATAGAGGCAGAGTGCTGTTGCGTGGCATGCTGCTCTGAGGTTTGTGAATCGTGCCAACAGTACGCCCCCGTGGTGCACGAGATCCTCTCCAATTCCTCCAGTTTCCCGTCCGAAATAGTGCCTCGAAGCGGTTCCGGAGTCATGTGCGATGTTAAATGCAGGTCGTACTGCGAGAACACTTCAGCTCTAGAGCCTCGATTGGGCAAGCCCTTCAGCGGCTGTCAGCTCGAGCGAGTAGCGTGCTTTTCTTGAGGTTTGCTACGAAATCCGAGAGGTTGGCATCCCTCAAAAGTGCCATTCATGCATGCTTCTTCGCATTTCGTTGCTCGAAGGCCGCACTCTGCCATCTCTCGACTCTCACTCTAGTTAGTTGGTCTTTCAACTTTTTGTTCTCACGAAGAGCAAGATGGTAGAGTCACGAAGACAATAGGCTCACAGCCCGGTAAAAGAGGGCGGGTGGCTTCCGATTCTTTAACCAGCATGTGCACAACATGCTGCCGTTAGATTGTGCCCTCCAGGTTCTTGGCTTGGAGCATCGAAAGAATTCACGTCAAGCCGTCAAGGTGTAAGATGTCCCGATGCCGGGGTTGAATACCGCTCGGTGTGCCGCCCTTTCCTGTGAAGTTGTGAGACGCTTCGCTTTTTGCTCCAAGGCGTCGACGGGCTCTCCTCTGCAGAGGCTTTGCGGCAGACGCTGACGTGGCGTTTGGAGGCTTGTGGCGGGGTCGAGCTTTCGGGCCACAAGGGTCTTCTTGTGATTGTAGGCTTGGGAAATCCAGCCCAGTTCCTTGTCAGCATGCTGTGTAGCTACTCTAATGTAATGTAGTGTTGAATTCGTCACGAGTATCCATTATGGACGCTACGTTGGTGGCCAAAGGGCAGACCTCCCGGGTAGTGCTGAGCAAGTGCCGGTGATGCCAGGCCATTGAAGTGTGGTGGCGAGTCGGAACTCCAAAAAGACAAAGCTACCCATTGTACTGCTGCATAAGGCGGCTGCAATCACCAACCAGGATGTCGTAGAGAAGTGCCAGCGATTTCTGGCAGCAGATCGCCATATCCTTGTGCGACTTTGGAAGCTCGAACGCGACGTGATCCTTTTGCTCTTCTTGAGGTTGTGCCTTCTGCTGTCCCAGGGTCGTAGACGCACGAACGGCTGCAGTAGAACAGTAGCAGTAGCCCGTAGCACTCGTATTATTAGTCGTTGCCGTGGTCGGAGATACGCGTAGTAATATTCGTAGCCGTAGAAGCAGAAGGAGGTAGGGGTGCGAGGATGATTGATTTGCGTTCCTACGGTAGTCAGGGCATGACGACAGACCTGATCGCACCACAGCTGCCAACTGCCTCAAGAGTTTGCATGGCACTTTGCCAGGAAAGGGAGCCGTGGGAAGAAGCTGGCTTTGCACCAGGTTCTTGAGGAGTTGTGTGTCCAGCGGCTGCGCTGTCCTGTGGAAGACCTTCGAGAGCCAGGTGGCCTTCTCTTGACCTGGTCAACCGCTGTTTCCTTTTCTATTTCTTATTGGTATGATAGCGCAGTCGAAATGTAGTCCGCTTCTTCTTTGGATAGGCAAGGCAGGCCACGACAGTTGACGGCAACGGTTGCTGGATGCTCCGGTGAGGCCGGCCTTGGACAGAACGGAACGGCATGCCTTCGAGCGAGCCAGCGGCAGACCTTGAAGGAGGCAGGTCGAAAAGCACATCAAGGACTCCGTGTCAAAGCTGCTTCAGCCTTTTGGGCTTAGCTGCATAGCTGGGACTCTTTGCCCGTTGAACAAAGCTCTGCCAAAGCATGTTCCCCACATCTCCAGGACTGCCTATGAAGACCTCTTATCAGCTCACCAAGCTGTAGCTGGTTCCTGGGAAGCAAGCGAGGCGAGAGTTTTGAGGGTAGCTGAGCAGAAGCCGGATGGAAAGACTCAGGTGCAGCATCAAAGCGAGGGTGTTTCCTGTTTTGCAGTGCTTCACTTGTAGTAGGGTGAGTATGCCGAATACCTCCGCTCGACAGGCTACATGTCACAGCGCAAGCTGCAAAGCCGATCTCGAGGTTGCGCGTGCTTCGTGCCTACATGGTGTGAGGTTGTTCATTTTGGAAATACTTGTTTGCCCTGGAAGTTGCGGGCATGACTCCGTCGGAACGTGCAATAGATCCCCTTCAGGATGTCACAAGTTCGAAGGTTGGAGACACGGGCTGGGAAGTGCCTGAAACACCGCCAGATCCATTGAATCCTCCATGTCCTGTCCGGAAGGCGGGGTTTGCGGCGTTTTGTGTGAGCTCAGTCGACGGGTGGGCCTGCCAGAGGATTTGTACAAGGACCTCCAGGCCGTGAACGTGGTTGTGGTAGTTTTCTCCGGAAGACGAGACCGCATGCGCATCCTGATGCGCTATCTGCGGCGCGATCTTCGAAAGCATGGTGGTGTGGTTGACAAGATCGTGTTCGCTTTGTGGCAATACACGGCAAAGGTCCGGGGCCGACATTTGCAAGATGTTCTCCACAGTAGTGTGGCTCACACAACCTGCTCACGCTAGGACCTTTCATATATGAAAGAGCTGGTCAGCTCCCCTGACGGAGCTGATGGCATCTCGGCTGAGACCCAAGACAGGTTTGAGATGGTGTGAGGTGCAGAAGATATAACATCGTTGCTGGCTTATCTTTTCAGTCTGGTACTTTTACAGTTGCAGCTCGCCACCACAGGAACTTTCGACATCCAAGACTTCTCCGAGCAGCGCTGGGGTCGGTCTCGCATCGATGCCGACCCGATCTCAAATCGAATGGTCCAGCTTTACAAGAGCATGAATGAGACAGACACGGTGTATGTGCCGCTTGTCCAACTTGGCCCACAAAGGGCCTTCAGCGCAGAATATGGTTATAGCACAGAATAGCACAGCCAAGGGCAGGCGACCAGGCATGTCCTCAGAATGTCTGCCAAGGAAGGTTGACGACGACGTGGTTTACGTTGCGGAACATGCGATTGCAGAATTAGTCAGGGAGAGATTACGAAAACGCTGCCTGCTGGTGTCGGCCAATGCCTGGAACTTAGGCTTTGGATTTCAAGGTCAAAAACGAAAAGCACAATCTTGCATGTGGTTATAAGTATGTGTAAATTTCCCGAAAGCTGGAGCTCAGGTGGTGAACCATGCCATCATGTCGGCCCCTCGCTTGGCATTTCCATGGGTGATTTCTGCAGCAAGGCACATCCAGAATTCAGTTCATTGTGTCGACACATGGTGATGGTTGTGTGAAGATGAAGGGTGCGAACTTGTCGTTGTTGTTGATGACGAGTGTGGTGATCGCGGCGACGTTGATGACGCAGCTGGTGTGGTCGGGTGTGAAGGTTGCAGCTCTGCTGCTGCTGTCCTCCTGAGGCTTTGCACCAAGACAGGGGCGCTCATCGGGGCTTTTGGCCAACGGAGGTGGCTACTACACCTCCTGCCAGATAGAACTTTTCCGCGTGAGTTCCGGGGCCAAAATCAGAAGCATGGCTTGTGCAGAAACAGGCTCACTTCACCCCTACAGACACCTGCTAGGAGCAGCAAAGAAACCCTGTTTTGCGGCTGCCGTGGTCAAAGAAGGAGGCGGAAGCTGTGGATAAAGTCGGCATAACCTTAATAAGATGGTAGAGGAAGTTTTCACTTCGACTACGCTCGAGACCTCGCCTAGATTGTTCTTAGTTGTGAGAGTGCAATAAGATGGGAAGTATGCCCTGATCTGTCAAAGGCTACAAAGGCGGCGAACAGCAAGGGCTTAGCGGCTTAGCAGTGACCCTGAAGTTCTTTGGCTCGCCTGACTTGGGGAGATCTTTGGAATTCAAGATTCTTGCTGGCGGGGCCCTACTGCATTGCCGATTGCACCAGGCTTGTGTTGGCATAATGCCCATAAGGTAGAACGTGTCGAGACGGGCCGTTGGCCGCAGACTCGCCCCCTCAGTCATAACGATGCAGCGGCAGGGAGGGAGTCTGGACTGGTTTGCAAGAAGCTCGAGCTTGGTGGCCATGAGTTGACTGGTCAGTTCTTGTTTCCTGGTCCAGCTGTACTTTGAATTTGCAAAGCCGGACTGGGCGATGGCTGTGTCAATCCGTCCTTGGACCCAGCCTCGCCCCAGCTCTTCAAACAGAGTGTTGGGGTAAATAATACTACTAGAGTATGTGGATTGTAAGGGGATAATACTGCCTGCTACCTGTTCCTACCCCCTGAAATCTGAGTTTCAAAAGTCGAAGTGGCAAAAGCATGGCCTGTTCGCAACGCCAGATAGCGTGATGAATTCCAGCGAGACTTCCGACAGGAAATCAACACGTCTCCGGACTTCCAGATCGAACGCATTCTGGCTTGACCTGTGATGCTTAGCTTGCTGTGGTTCCCATTCGTTCATTGGAGCAAAAGATGTGCCGTTTTGCTTTGGCTTGAGCCTTATGGTCCTTGTGGGCCCCCCTTAGGCTTCCCAGCATCACGTTGCGTGGTGGAGCGTTGGGACTGTGCTGCTCTGGTCCACGAGAGTTGCTTCCCCGCACTGTGATTGCCGTGCTTGTGTGTCAGGGGTCTTGCCTTGGTCAGGTTTCTTGGACCGCTCTGCAGACAACACTCTGCCTCTTGAATGCAGTTCCGAGAACTCACCTTCGCAGGATGAGGAAGAGGCATGTCTCATGCCAGCCTCGCCCTGGAGCCAGGTGCGTATTCGATTTCGGTTGGCACGACTTCAACCGCTTGGGCTACAGAGAACACAGGTGTCCGGCCAGAGCCACTTTTTTCGTCTCGTGTTGCGGATGTCACGAAAGCAAGCTATGTGGAGCTTGCGGAAGTTCTCGTTTACCCATTCACTTCAATGTAGTAGAGAATCGCGTCAAAGAGAGACTGGGCGGGCCCCCCCAAACCTTCAGGTAAAATTGGGTCGTTTGCAAGTATCTTCACGGTGTTTTGCATTGTCTTTCCGACTGCATGGACCTGGCAGCATCCTATCAAGCACCATGGCACTTGCATCTGTTTATCTGCACATGCTTGGGGTACCGACCTAGCAGATTCAATCGCCACGGCAATTGCGCAATGCCACAAGAGCTCTATCACTCCTGTCTGGTTTGCTTGCCCCAGCTTCCGTGGCCCTCTTCTCAAGTGATTTTCAGTTGCAGTGGCTTCTTCATGCTGTGTGAGTACATGGACGTGCATCGCCTCCGTCGCAGGTACATACACAGATCTCCAAGCGTCAACAAGGAGTACTGGACACAGGGGGCAAGGTGGAGCACAAACTTCTTTGCCTTCAGGGCAGAAGACCTGGACGGAGTAAACTGGAGTAACGTGCGACTTGGCAGAAACCAGTGCGAGTTACAAGTCTTTCTTGTGCTTGTGGCTGGTGCTTAGCTGAGCTCGCAGGAGGTGCGGCCAAGCGACCGCAGTAGTCCAGAACAGCCTAGCTCAGAGATTCTTAAGCTGGCGCATCCGTGTGGCCTTGAAGTCGACATGGGCTTCTGAACTGCGAGGCATGGCAAGGGTGACGATGAGGAGGAGTTTACTGGGCCTCACTCGGAAAGAAGAGCGGCTTGGTCACTGCTAGTAGGACGTCCAATTCGAAGCGCAGCTGGAGCCCTTGTAGTGGTTTCGGCAGTCCCTTGTCTCGCATGCCATGTCATTGTAGATACACGCACAGAGCGAAATCGCTGTGTCTTGCGTCGTGGCTGACAGGTGACTGAGTCCGTGAGAGAGAGAGAGCTCCGAGAACGGGTCATTCTTTCCAACACAAATATGGTCCCATGACTCTGTGGTTTCGGAGACTGTTTCTACGCTGTCGTTGTCCTGTTTCAGTACCGAAGGGGGAAAGAAGTACAGCATGATCAGCTTGAATGTTACCACGTCTAGATCTGACCCCGGAGCCAATGCAAAATGTTGTAGAACACATGTTACTCCTTTAGGTGTTTAGTACCGCTGTGCACTTGCTTCATCCTAAAACTGGCTCGGGGGAAAAACACGTCTGTAGAGTTCAACAGCACTAACGGCCATGGCCAAGTCCCAACGACTACCTTTTCCATATACACTCAATGTGCGGTTGTTGCAGCGTGTATGTTTCGAATGGGGGACAGTTCATGACTGTACTCAGCTGTTGTATTCACCCATGTGCAGCTGGCATGAGGGGGAAAGCACAACTTAGTCCGAGGGGTTGTTACGGGGATAATGCCACTTTCTGCCGGGGCCCTAGAGTGTTCGCACCTTTTCTGCAACATGCCAGCAGCTTTCGACAAAGGGGTATCCCTCGTCAATCGGGGGAAACCCTCCTACAGGACCTCGCAGGTCGAAATGACCTCAGAGATCTCAAATGTAGACATGTGGAGATGCCTCCTTTCGACTATCTCTAGGCTTGCACTTTCTGTAGTTTGCACTTTCCACGTTGAGGAGACTCAGAACATGTCTGCATTTTGCATGTGTCCTGGAGAGTGCACAATCACCTTCTTGCGTTATCGTAGACTTTACGGCTTTAGCCTTCAGGTGATTTACACTCGTACTTCACTCCCCCCCAACAACATGTTGGGTGGGCATGATGCCCGGGGGACTTGACCGTCCCCCATGCCCAGGAGAGAGAGAGAGAGCTTCATGATTTTGATTCCTACTATGCATAGCTCTTCACTTTCAGCATGTTTCGTGGGAGAACATACGACCGGCAAATTACACTACCGCATACTTTAAGGCCTTAGCCTTTTGCCAGTCTATGTTCGTTCGTCACTCCCCGTAGCCCAACAAGACGTTGGGTGGGCCAGGTGCCCGGGGACGCTGACCCGTCCCCAAGCCCAGGAGAGAGAGAGAGAGAGCTTCCCCTTGTCCACAGCCCTGGCGAAAGAAAGAGAGAGAGTAAGTTTAGGGGGTCAACAGTGCCGTTACGCCCGCCTCATCATTTTCGGAAGTCTTACCAACGACAAGCACCAGGGCGCGTGCGTGCGCGGGGGGTTCAGGAGACCGTGCTCCTTTGGCTGTGTGGAAGAAGAGAGAGAGAAAGAGAGAGAGTTGCAGCCGGCTGATCTTGTGGGGGATGCAATTAAGGACCGACACTCTTGTGCAGTTGGCGCCGCGTTGGTGGTGCACTTCTCTTACGGGTCCCAGGCTCGGATCTGGTTTGCGAGGGCCAAAGGCGGGAGGGCCCCAGGCAGTTGAGTTTCGCAGCGTGCAGCTTTACACAGAAGCTGGCTCGGATGATCGCGCTTTGATTTGATTTTGTTTTCTTTGCTTCACTCTGCATTGCAGGAGGAGGGTCTGATGGCCTACACGAACTTGTCAGCTACCTAGTTCACTTGCGCCATCGCTGCCATAGCTAGGCAGCCAGGCCTCCTTCAACTTCGACCGCCTTGTTTTCTTATCCTGCACTACAACGTGCTGTGATCGGAGTCAATTCTGCTGACCGAGCCTCAGGCTGAAACGCTACGACAAGTTGTCACGGCGCATTTGGAAGGTTCGCGCCCGAGGCTAAACTGGAATCGCCGACAGCAGGGTGCTTGGTCCAGACAGCTTCGGGCTGCAGTCTGTGATCACTGCCAAGGCTTCCAAACCAGATGCACCAGATGCGTCGCGTTTCAAAGTCGCGAAAAGTGAGCAACCGCGGCTCCAGGGTGTGGGTTGTGTAGGACATGGACAGTCGCCAGCTCCTTGGCCCTTGCACTGCCTTGCACGTGGTTCGCAGCCCGCGCAGCTCTCGGGCCGGGGCAGTTGCTGACCCATTATCTAGTACCTCAATGCTCATATGATCTCACATGCAATGCCTTTTGCGACAAGCTCACTGGCAGACCTTGCCGCAGCTGCGGCCAGGAGTTCGAGGTTGCAGCTGGCCACAGCTTGTTTTCCAATGAAGCCATGGCTGCGCAATGAATACCGGGGACGCTGGCTGGTGCTCGCAGTCTGTGTAACCGTCCCTTGGTTGCACATGGGTGCCATTCGTCGATCTGTCTTGCCAATGCATTGGATTTGCGAGGGATGGGATCCTTTCGCGCTGGCTTTGCATGCGACGCAAAGTTTTTGATGCATGGGTAGGTTTAGGCCGATCGTGGCACGAATCAACAGTCCGACAGTCCGGGACACGTCCACACTTAGGTACTCCTATGGTTCCGAGGCCCGTGCTTTCGCTCGACTGCCAAAAGCATTGCAAGAGACGTGCAGGACGGATTTCCCGATCCCAACGTGACAGCTGGGACACTTACGAGCAGGCAACCGGCGAGTGGCTCCACCCATTCCGAGCCAGAAGAGGGACACATGCTTGCAAGTCGAGCCCTTGAGCCCTGCGTAGTCCGTATGATTCAACTTGGCCAGATGTATGGCTTGGTTGCCTCATGTGGTTGTACACTAGCCAACCTGCCGTGTTGTCAACATGCCAACGGTGTCTATTGGTGTTCGAAAATGTGCACGAACTGTGCATGGCTTCTCATCCATACAGGAAGGCCGCATCACACAGCCAAGGACAGCGCTTGTTCAGTCGGTTGTTCGGGTCCGCGCCTTCGACGCCTTTCGGCCCTGGTCCCGCTCGCATGGCTCGGGCTTCCTTTGGGACCACAGCGGCCACATTGCCTCTTGCCAACTTGAGGGCTTGTTGTATCGAAACATATCCAAGACAGGGAACAGCCGAAACAACTTATGAAGCTTCGGTCCCAGGTTACCAACTTTCACGTTGTCCAACATGCCTCATTTGTCTCCGTGCACTTCGCCGATGGCCTGCAGTGCAGAGCAAAGGTGAAGGCAAGCTTGTTCTTCCGACTCTGCTACTAGTAGCAACAAACGGGAGCAGTCGTGAGCAACCGCTGAAAATCCCGGCTGCCTGATGACCGAACAGCAGGACTCGTGTGTGATTTCAGCACAGAGTCAAGACGAATCGTGGAACTTTTGCAAGAGCGTCAAGTTTCGAATGAGCCCCTGCAGCTGTCGGAAGGCGAGATGTGAACCTTGCGACTTGGCTGTGCTCCAGGTCCTGCTCGACAGCGGCTCGGCATGACGTGTCTTGACGAGTTGTTGTTTTCGCAGAGCTTTTCCATGAACGAAAGCTTGAGCGAGGCTGCTCCGGCTCGGATCTGCAACTTCCACCGCCGTGAGGGCCTCTGACAAACCGCTTAAAGCACTTCTTTGCCAGTTGATGCCTCCTTTGACTTCTGGGCAGGTTGAGGCTGGCACGACACGGCCCGGATCTGGGTGCCAAAGTAGCGGCAGTGGGTCACCCGGAGCACTGGGCCTGGCTGCCCGGCTCGCTCTGATTCTTCGCTGCTGGCTTTGCTGCTAGGCGGATCACACAGCAACGCCCAGGCTTCTGGGCGTGGGCCATGTCACTGGAATTGGTCGTCGCAGCTCCCGTGCTGTGCAGCGCTTCCGGGCCTCTTGGCCTAACCCCCTCACCAAAAACGTGACTGCGGGGAGCCCGAAATCAGGTTTGGGAAGTTGACCTTTTCGTAGACAAGGGAAGCACAGGGAGCTATGCAACTAACTCCATCTATCAGTCTGCCTGCTGTGGGCTGTAGAGTCCGCTTCCCGGCCTGGCCGTCGATTCGCTACCTCTCCCCCGCCCAATCTGCCTTGGACAGCAACGCGAGACGCGAACAATGCATGTTTCTCACGAAGTCACGTGGCTCGAATGCATGCCACGACCGAGATGTGTAGCGGATGTGGTGAGGTAGATGAAGAATCGGACGGAAAACTTGTGCGAAGGTACTGCCGAGGCTTTCTTGAACGAGCTCGAAGCCGTTGTTTTTGGTGAGGGTGAGGGTCGCCGGGCGAGTGAATGTTGGCAACATTTGCATGCGGCGAAGCCTTCGCGCAAGCTTGTGGCAAGGTTATTGCCTCTCGCAGGTGCAACTCTATTCACTTGTGTCCCAGTTTCTGAAGGTGCACGTGCTGGTGCAAATCTTAGCGATGGCAGCGCCATTCGTGGGTCTGGCGACAAAAGGGGGCTCGTTGTCCCGGCTCTCAGATCAAGCTTGCTCATCGAGTCGCGTCAGGAGGCGGCAAATGCTGCAGTCCTCGCGGCTGTGCCTTGGGCTTCTGTCGAAAGCAGGAAGATTGCGAAGAACTGTCTGGAGACCTGGCTGGCCGATTGCGGGAATGAGCCCTCGAACCCAAAGCAGAAAGCTCGAACTGGAGGCGTGGCGACTGCAAGTTTGCATGAGCTGCTGCCCCAAGCTCTCGCGGCAATAAGGGCGCAACTTCCTGTGTTCAACCCAAGCTCGGGCCGGAGCACGAGCCTGTCGGTAAGTCTGTCTGTTGCAATCGCGCGCGGTCTCCATTGGTTGATGCAGCAGAGCGACTACCTGGTTCTCAAAGACCGCCGCATGGATCAGCACTCATCGACACCCATAAAAATCACGCATATCCCGTCATATCCCCCACTACTGTAGAAGGCTCTGTATACGGTGGTGCTTCCGTTTAGCAGTCCTGCCCGGCCGTGCCCTGTCTGCGGAGGCCTCGGCCTGGCCTTGCCTTTGATTCTCCAAGTCCTGGACCAGACTTCGGATCAAGTGGTCCGGCTCATCGCCTGGGATGCCCTGCATTTGATGCTGGATCGTGCCCTGGCAACCGAGGTGCAGAACTTTCGCCCCCCTTTGCAGCATGTCTTGGAGACTTGTTCTCCACTCTTCCTGGATGAAGAGGTCGCATGCCTCGCCGTCGCACCTTTCTGTGCTTCGAGCGTGCTTTTCCTGCTTAAAGCTTTCAGCCTTGATTGCAAGTTAGATCGCAGCAAGAGCTTGGACTCCTTGCTTCACTACGGGAGCCTCCACTGCAAGCCCAACTCGCGTGCATTCGCGCTCTTCTTGGAATTTGGACTCTTGCCGCTCCTGACCCGGGAAGCCTGGCTGGTTGCACCGCACCTGCGCGAAATAGCAGAGCTCCTGCTCCAGAGCTGCGAGGGAGGCAACGCCTTGGAGGTGTTGCTGGCCTGGCACGCCATGCTGCTTCTGTTTGGAGGGGAGCTCCAAGCCCGTGTCAAGAGGCCAGTCGGCCGATACAAAATGCTCATTTTCCCGTTGTACAGCCGTCACGCCAGTCCTGCAGGTATTTTCAGGACATCCTTCTGCGCATGGCCTTTACCTACCTGACCTTCTTTGCATCCGATCCGCCTGAGGGTCTTCAGCAAGAGCCTACGACAGGACCGGCAGTTGATCAAAAGTGCAAGCTTCTATTTCAAGGCTCCTGCTAGCAGTTGCAGTTCATGCATGTCTATTCCAAGAATTCATGCACGGAAGCTCGGGACAGAAGTAATGGCAGACGATACTTGTACCGCTTGGTGTTATGTGACATAGATAATGGCAGGAGGCTAGAGGATAGCTCAGAATTTGATGTTTCCTCCAGAGGCTGGATCGTCCAACTTGGCTCGGCCTTGGATTATGGTGGCTTCTTGTGCCGGTGACAGTTCTGGGTGTTGTCTCGCCACGGCCAGGCGAATCGTTGCCGTATACTTTAGGATCACATCCTGCGATTTGGGGCAGTTTATGCGTCATATCTCCAAGTAGGGCTCTCAGCTGGGACCTCTAACTCCGTGTTGCACACCGACCATGATCACATCTTTCGGCAGAATCCGATGTGAGGGTATTGAAGTCCGAGCCTCTACTGTTTCTACTTGTAGGGGTCTTCGCTGTGAGCATCATGAACGTACCTCTGGGAAGTTCTACGCAGGATCTGGGCAGTTCCTGTCGCCTGTGACGGCTGCGATGACAGCAGCGGAGTGGACGGAGGCATATGGCCAATGTGCAGGGCACGCTGCTTCTTGCTGCATCGCATGTTTCCGCAGTAGAGGGCGGCAGCGGCAAATTCGAAGCAAGATCTGGGAGTTAGGAAAAAATTCAATGAACTTACTCGACACTTCGAAGCGTCAGGCGTCTTGCAGGAAGGACGAGTTGGATGCTGTACTTCGCGATGTTGCACGAGTGTTAGCAGAGGCGAGCTCTCCAGTCATCTTGCCAATTGTTGAGACTTGGGTTGCCTGGGGTATGGGAGCCTTGCATCCTGCAGGCCGATGAGCCAGGAGGCGATCTTCTGACGAGGCCAAGCAGCCCATCCTTCAGATGTCACTACAAATATTTGCGTGGGACGGCAGTGGGACGTTCGTTCAACTTCGCTGGGCTTGACATGGTAGCAGCCCTCAAGAAACACACACCAGCAAATGCAACTTCATGAGTCGGACGGAAGACCGACGCAGATAGACCTGCCCGCGAGCACTTTCCACTGGGGGCTTTGCTGAAAGGTGACGTTGATTTGCTGGCACCTGGTACTCGGCAGAAACAGGCACATGTTTGAAAGACTGCTCGAGTTCGCCTGGCAACACTGGTCGAGAACAGTTTTTACAAAGAGCTTGCACAAAACAAGTGTGTGCCCCCCCCCCCCTCCCCCTCTAAAAAAAAGCGAGGGGACAGCATGTGCGCAGATATGGACAACAGCAAGAGAATGCCACAAGAAAGGAGCTTGACGGAGCTGACAGCATCGGCGTCACTGCCTGTGCCATCGGGTGGGGCTGAAGGTCTGGCTCATCGACTCAAGGACGACCCGCCACCTTAATTACGCCTTAAGTTAAGCCCGATTTCAGTGGCAGTCGGAAGGACTTCGTCCTCTTTGTCATGGATGCTGTGGAGTTAAGTGAGCAGGAGATGCGGGAGAGGCGAGCAGAGGCGAAAACGGGAGCTGCGCCGCACTTGCTTGACATTGGCCTCTAGGTCCATGGCATCCTTATCACTTCGTGCTGGACTGCTTTGGAACTGGAGGTTGAGGCCAAGTGCAGTGACATGGAGAGATGCTGAGGCGCTCCAGGACTTCCAGGAGCAGTGCTCAGTCGATGGCGTCGTGTTTGCCTCGGTCGCAGCTGGTCATGGCAGCAGCGGTGGCCCGCTGCTGGACTCTCATGGAGCCACCCTGCCTGCAACCTGTGTAACTTTGGGCACCTGTACGTAGGTTACATATCTGCCACCAGCCTTGTCTTTTGATCTGATGCTTGACGTGGCCGTCAGGGATTGTCATACCAGAGTTCGAAGCGGCAGGGCAGGCTAGTTTGCAATGATACCCCGCCAATGAAGCCAAAGCCTACGAGTGTAGTCGCAGTGAGCTGCCGCCGAGCACATTAAGGATGTCACAGGTGTGATTACCTGGCAATTTTCGGGCTCACAGCCCGTGGTGATTGCAGCCATCAGCACGTCTGTTGTACGACAGGCGGCATGGCGGCATCGAACGTGTAGTTCCTTGGATTCTCTTTGCATCCAGCCTTGTTTTGCATCCTGGCAAGGTGGTACCGCAGCTCATCTCTCAGGGCAGCTGCAGCCTCGCTCACGCAGGTGCACATGGACCTGACGGAGACAGAGACGAAGAGGGGGGATGCGGGATGCTTTCCACGGTCCAGTTGTCGATCCCGGCTTGGGTAGGTATTTTGTTTGAGGTTGCCCCTGTCATTGCGGGTTGGAACATGTATTAACCTGGGTCCTTGCTCACTGTCTTTCCCTCTCTCTCAATCTCAGTCGTGTCATGTTCTCTCCTTTGTCGCGAGTGTTTTCGACCGGTGCGCCTATGTCGAACCTGTAGAATTTGGCAGCTGCGGCTGAAAAAGGCTGTCTGAGGGTTTTGTGGGAGGCAGGGGAAGCCAGGCATGGGTTGCAGTCATCAGCGCTTGGGTGCAATGGCCAATGGCTGAGCCGGAGAGGCATCGAAGGCCGTATGGGTCCAGCGCGACTCACGGCCCCCAGCTGGAGAAGTAATGCCTATCTGGGGGTCAAGGCAGACGGAGTCAGGCGCATTGCCCGGCCATGATGCAGATGGTGTTGAGAAGGGCAAGCTTGAGATTTGTGTCATATGTCTATGTGTCAGTACAGGAACTTGAAGCCCAGCATATCCTCTCCAGGCTTTGGGGCTTGCCCTCCCGCGAAGCGCGAGATGCCGGCCTTCGGTGGTCGCTTGTACTCTCAGGTTTTTTGTGCATGTTCAGTGCATGGTTGTATCAGTGGCAGGACACAGTTAGATATGTCGGTGTGGACTACTCTCAGACGGAAATGTGCGGTTACGGGTGGCCTGAGGTTGGATGAGATCGTAGCTGTTGGCAGAACAGACGAGCCGGTGCATTCCGTTGCTGATGTTCTTCATGCCATACAGGCCTCGAGCTTATGGAGGGCGACAGATGACCAAAGCTCTCAGTCAGCTTTAATCAGATCTGCAAGACTTTGGCCAGGCGCAGCCTGGCTCACCCATGCCAGTCCGTTTAAGACGCTTTGGCAGCGAACACACGGCAGAGCTTGCGCGCCTCTGAGCTTTCTCCTCCCACACGAAAGGTAAATGAGAGGCTATCTACTGTCATATTTTCTCAGGTTCGCGATGTGCCACGAAAAAGATCGCCACTGCTCATCCGTCGGATGGCGAGTGTCGGTGCGCGTGGCTTGATCGTGCTGAGGCCCTTTGCTTTGCAGTTCTGCGGTCGACGTAGCAGCTGTAGCGGTTACGCAGACAAGGACACAGCGGCATGTTAGAGGCCAAAGGCGAGAGTGAAGAGACAGGCTTCATCACGCAATAAGGCTAGCCTATTCTTTCTTACCCTCAACAGGAGAGACCTGCCCGGATAAATTCATCCTCAAGTCTCAATCAACGAGAAGGCTGAAATCCGTAAATCGTCGGAAGTCCAAGCTATAGGCCAAAGTCTGCCAGAAATGTCAGACGAACACTGGTTTTCAAATTTCAACGTGTCACAGTGTCTGATGGCGTGTGATCAGCGTGTGCTCGCGAGTCGAAAATCGGAAACGTACCAAATCCTACTCGACCTCTTGGTACCACAAGCTGCGTGAAGGGTTGATGATGTGCTGCTGATGTTCCACGCGAAGCGGCTTTCTTGGCATGCCATGCAGTTAACTGCTTTCTGTTGATGTCAGGGTGCTGCGCAATTATCGACGTCTACTATTGGCATTGCAGAAAGCTGCTGGGCGAACTTGAAGGAGCTGTGAGGACAAGACTCGACAAAGCCGGCAGTCGGCAGTATTAAGGATGCTGGCAGCTTCCAGGCTTCGCTGCAGACCTTCCGCGAGTGACCAGGCACAAGAAGGCGTCACAGACGTATAAGTCGACCTGCACGCACATGCGTTGAACCTAGGCCAGGGGGCTTCAACGAGAGTGCGGTGCCCGAGGCAGCCTCACAGCTGATTTTCGCTCTGGTACAATGGGCGTTGGCCTCCGCTGCCTGGCGGAAGTCGGGCTCGGGACGTCGGGATGCGTTTCAGCCGTTTCAGCTTAGATCGGTGAAGAATGGTCTGGCTCGGGCGCGGGCAGCGTGGAAATTTTTTACCGCCATCCATCCAGTGGGTGTATATGTAAACCGGTTGGCCACCGTAGCCTGAGAAAGCACGGAATCAAAACTTCTTAGCAGAAGAATGGGCTCGAACCGGAGATTCGCTCTAAGTGGCTACAGGCAGTGGGCTTGCGCAGGGCAGCATCACTGGTTTTCAGACTTTGACTCCTTTCTGTACAGACAGCACGATCCTCCAACCCTTTGACATAGTGTGTATGCTCAGGACCCTCTTCGCAATGTGTGCCTGCCAGCTCGCATAAATTCCAAGTGCGCCGTCACTGGAGATATGAAGAAGAAGATTTGGAAGCCAACTTCATCTTTCCGGATCTGCCAGGCAAAATGCAACAGTGAAGCTGTGGAGACCCCGTCTTGCTGCGTGCACTCAGCAAAGACCGGACAGTGCCAAATGATCTTCGGCGGCAATTCCACCCTACCTGCCGAGCCGCAGGAGCCGTGCAGACAGCATAAACACATATGCACGCACACTTTGAATATCCTTTCGCTGTTCGGGGGATCAGCAGGATCGAAGCCGAGCTGCGCTGTGCCGCCCTTTTCCGGTGGCACGGGTGGCTGCGGAACTCGGGAAGCTCGTCAATTTTGTATCCCGCGTCGTGTTGGATGAGTGAAGGCTGTGCTGGACGACCTTCGTGCTTGTGATCGTAGTCTTGCACGACTTCGGAAAGAGATCGGCATCAACCAGCTTGCGCTGTAACCTACAGTCCCTGGACATGATGGCACAGGCTGCTGAATGGTTTCGGGGAATGGCGAGGTGGATCGAGACATGCAGACAAGTGGTCATGAGCTGCAAGGGGTCTGAGTTCGGGGCGCCCTGCCTTCAACTGCAACTTGCAATCCAGTTGACTCTCACTGACCGGCTGCTGCGACTTGCTGCAGGGCTGCAAGCCGACTGCATGACTCGCCTGGACACGTGCTGTCATATGCTGATAAACGCTTTGCATTTTTGCTGCTTGTGGTGCAACCCGCTAGTGGTTTACCAGGACACCGCTTGAAGCATCTTGCAACCAATGCATGGCGATAGCACTGTCGGCCCCAGACAAGCTTATTCACACTGCAGATATTATTGACACCTGTACAGTAAGTCCAGCGAACCCGACTTACCGTTTCCCTTTCCGTGCTTCCCTTGTGCCGCAAGCTGCGAGAACCGGCGCAGCCGCTTGCAGCAGCTGGTGCTATGGGAGTCTTGGCGTACCAAACGCATATGCTGCAGTCGAGTCAGGAAGTGGAAGACTTCCGGTGCAGACGTCAGGGTCTTGTTAAGGGATAAGGTGTTTCTGCGGTTTAGGAATGTTTGCGCTTCCAGTTCCGGCTCCTTTCAGACCTCAGGAAACACAGCACAGTGCCGGTGCCACGAACAAGACGAGGAGCACGATGTTGATGGTGACATCCTGGGGGAGGCCACTGCGCTTCCGCTGCACTATGAAGACACAACATAAAGAAACAGCTCCGAAATCTTGGGCGACGAGCGCAACGGTTGCCCCTGCTCCTCCTTCCGCTCCTCATCCATGTTGCTACGACCACGCCGGTGGCAACCGATGCATGAGAGTGGGCGCATGAATCTCAGCAAAGTAGCTTTCTCCCTCCCTCTCTCGTTCTCGCTCTCTGTGCCTTTAGATATGCAACTTGATACGCACACATCCTGAACAGTTCCTCTTGATTTATCAGATTTTCGTTCTGCACGCGAAGCACATCTGATGTAAGTATGTTTTACTTGCCTTTGCACATACATACACAGACAGAGACAGACAGAGACAGACACACACTTCGGACACACACGAACACGCACAGAGAGCGAGATAGACAGAAATAAAAACTATATGTGGGGAGGCAGGTCCTCACCACAGCCCTGGCGAAAGAGAGAGAGAGGCAGAGAGTAGCCATTTTGGCTCAAGTGTCCGCACCTTTGTCTTGGGGGTCTGTTACTCGGTGGAGTGTGCACGCTGTGTTCATTGTCTCCCGCACCTGTCGGGGGCGCACTAGCGCGCGGCGTAGGGGGATTTCCCCTTGCGCCACAGCCCTGGCGAAAGAAAAAGAGAGATGCACAGCACACCCGGGGCCTAAGTGGCCGGGGGGCCCTACCAGCTCCCTTGACCCGGTGGAAGAAGATGCATGTCATGTCATGCTTACTCGCTTGCTTGTGTCGCTGCAGTGTCTGTGAGAGTGCATCCGGAGCAACTTCTAGTTGCACAAGCAGAAATACACTGCAAGATATGGGCACAGAACAGGCAATAGCCTCAGCTTGAGATGAGGCCGGGGGTTTTCTAGGTTAGTTCCATTCAGGGGGGATGCGAGTGTTGCGAATCCTCGGCTTCATCATGTCTCCGTCGCATCAGACCGGCAAGACCAGTGCGCGTGCACACGCAAGGGGGGCATTGTGCCTTCCTTTGGCTGTGCAGAAGAAGAAGATGTATGTATATATATATATATACACATGTATTTATGTATGTGCATATATGTACATGTATCCCTGTGTGTATATATGTATATACACACAGGGATACATACGCGCTTATGCTCTCTGTATGCATGCTTGCATACACTCTTTTTGTTGTGTGTGTGTGCCGGTATACAGAATTGAACCACCGACGGTCTCTTGACAGGGTGATGACAGTCTGCCCTGGGCGGGAAAGCGTGAAACGGAATGGGGCTGATCGCCAATCATCGCATGTCGTTTTCCGTTTTCATATGTATCTGAACCCAGGTTTATCTCAACGCTCCTCAGCTGCAAAAAAGCTAAGCTGCAGTGATGCACTATCTCCTTGGCGGAATGGTTTTCCTCACAATCCTATGTGTTTGTACGCCAGATCTATGACCTGAACGATGAGTGGCTGCAGTCCAACCAGATCTCGGCGGACATTCTCAACATTGGAGGTACTCGCATTTCTGGAGTTCGCGGTGCATTTCTGTGACATTTCACGAGGCTTGACGAAGTATATGTAGGAGGACGCAGGTGTGGTCGCCTACTAGCAGTTCGATGGCAACGGCAGCTGTTGAAATAAACGCACGCGGATTTGCTACAGGCTAGAAACCGCAGAAAATCTGATGATTTGCTATTATGGCGACAGCTGTAGCCTGCAGCTCTGTCGTCTTGATGGATTCCTGTCGTTCAGGCGCCTTTCATGCCGGAGTGGAAGTCCACGGGAAGGACGATTGCCCGACACATGCCGACACCACGCCCGTTTGTGTGGACAGAATCGTTCCTGAATCGGTGATCGGGAGGAGTGGTCGTTTGGTCAGGATGGAATCGACTGCCAGGCAGGGAGTGTCTATGTGTCAGAACCTCTCCCTTGTCATGATGCATTTAATGCATTGTATGTTGGCAGGAGCCTCGCACTCATGCCGCTTGCTTGCAGTTAAGTCGTGACATCAGACGGTGCTTGTCCTTACCATGCTCTGTCCTAGATTTGTAGCACAAGATGCTTGGAAGGGCACAGCTATTTCTTATTCCATGGCAGCATTTGCAGAACCGTCTGCTTCTGGGAACAGTTCGCAGGACGTACATGTCTACCGCATGTCCATCGCCATGGGCCGGACAAGCCAGGCCGAAGCAGAGGCCGTGGCTCATGGGTCTGAGATCTTCTCTGCTAGGCTACTGCGCCAAAAGAGCTGCTGCTGTTGGCATGCATGGGGCATATCACACTGCATGCTCGCACGTGCTCACCAATTCAAAAACAAACCCAGCCTCTGACGAAGCCTTCGTCCCCTACAAGCTAGAACGACATGCCTTCTCGAATTCCTTGAGTCGCCCAATCACGGCAGCATTCCCGTTGGCTGCTTGCCTTCCGGCACAGGTCGTTCGCTTCATGGATTTGGCAATGGGAAGCCAATGGCATGGATGCGACTACGACATGCTTGAGCGCAACTGCTGTAGCTGCATGGCTGCATTTTGCAACCTCATGTGGGACAGCTCAGTACAGCACCGGACTTTCATGTGTAGCAGCTGCTGGGGACGAAAGACAGCTGAGGTTTTGCAGAGGTGGTGTGCATGCACCTGGTTGGTAGAAATCTCCCAGGCTGGGTGACGCGCTTCCCTCGCGGCTCGGCGCAAATTGCATGCCTAGGCCAAGGCTCGGTGGCACCTGCAAGTTTGAGTCCTGCACGTCGCTGCACGGCTCGAAGGTTTGGCCTGTACTGCTTCGATGCTTGGCTGCAGTACGGGGCGTAGGTGCAGGTGTCAGCCATGAATCCGATCGCGCAGCAGGCAGGGAGTAAACCACCTCATCAACGTAGCCGAGCAGTTGGCAGCCGAGCAAGCCCACAAACTGCAGCTTGGTTTGGATTTGGTACCCTTGCAAAAGCCAAGCGCCCATGTATATCAGATGTCGGACAAATATCGGGAAGAGCACGCCTTGCTTCGGTCCACAGGCCCAACAGGCCTAGACCTAGGGTCTTTTCTGGTGACGGCAGCTGTGACACTACCGAAGCTGGGCAACCTCGCAGTTGCAGACGCCATTTGCTTTCTTATGAGTTCTTGTGGTCCAGGTCATGCAGTAGGTTCAAGATGTTCATTCGTGTCTTTGTTCACTGCCTTCCTGGCCAGCTGCAGTGGATGTCCAATCCCAAAATTGTTCCCGAGGCCATGCATCCCCGTAAGAAGTACTGACGCACTCCCCAATGCCGAGGAGCTCCGGGATGGGCTTTCATCAACATCTGAACTACGTTCTCTGATGTTCCCTGTACCTGCCATGTGCAGGAGCACCACCCTTCGGACCAATTCTCGGAAGAAGAGGCTCCTGGCCTCAGGAGTTTTTTCGCAGGTCTCCAGCGGTTTAAGCAACAAGCGTGCGCTGGAAGAGGCCACTTTTGCCAACCGCTACTGTAAAATCCAGACATTGGAGCTGAATACCTAGGTGGAGTTCAACGAAGACAGTCTTCCAAAAGTCGTCGTATCACAGCCGCCCCTCGACAGCATGAAGCTGCTTTAAGGGACACCAGTTCATTGCCACTGCACAGGAGCAAACTTGTGCGACCGCTTGGTCCAAGGCCAATATGCCACGTCCACAGCGTGAGCCATGGCATCCAAATTTTTAGTCTTTTCTTGAAAGACCCTGGCACCCAACCAGCCCACCACTTATTAGAGAAGTCGAGGATCTCGACCTACCCACTATTTGAGTACACGGTGACCAACCAATAGATTCGAGAGGTGTGAGGTCTGAAGAAGTTCCTGGCCGGTTTGTGAGCATTCTGATGTTATGGTTAACTGCTCAGGATTTCTCGTGCTACCACCACCATGGTGTCCGAAGCTTCTGAGCTTGCGCTTCACACAGGCTTGCATGGGCGGAGGATGCAAGCTTCTGCTCCCAAGTTAGGACCGTCGCAAGTAGTGCTGGGGTTGGTGACAGCGATTTCCCCTTCGTGCACAGGCTGCGCGCTTTCTCTCACGCGAGCTGACTGTGCTCAACTCGTGCCAACAGGGATTGTGGCTTGATGACAAAGGCGGGAGAGTCTCGAGTTTACGTTCTCTTGTTCAGTGGCCGGCTCCTCGTCTCCTGTTGGCAGGTGGCTGTCTTCGGCGGACGCGTGGCCAGCGCGCTCCTGACTGGCTGGAATTCGAAATTCGCAGGAATTTGTGCATGCAGATTGCAAGGGGCTGCAGGATCTTGCTGTGCATCAGTGCATGTAGCGGCATTCGAGCTGGCAGACATTCGCCAGCCGAGACTCGTCTTTTCAGTTCTTCGTCCGGCGAAGTATGTGGACAAACAATGCCAAGCAATGTTCAAAGTTGCGAGGATGAGTCATGCCGGCAGAGTTGCACGATCGACACTAGCAGTGTTTTCCGAAGTGCTTGGATTCTGTCGCGCTGCAGAAGTACCTTGTCTAGCCATCGCATCAGGGCAAATTTAGTTGGCCTTGATGGATCTTTGCCACAGCCAGGATGCACTCCTACATTGAAAGTTTTTTCCGCACCTTCTGCATGTGTGCGTGCAATGTGTGGTGTTTTTCGGCACCACGGAAGTGTTTTGTCGGAACGTGGCTTCGCTTGCGAAATGCGCTGCTCTGCGCAGCATTACATCGCCGGGTGCACTCGAAATCACACGACCGGCAGAGGACAGCCATTTAGCATGCTCCGGAAGAAGCTGGCAAGAGATGTGCAATCGCAAGGGGATGCCACTGTTACAGTTGCATATCTGGGCAACGTAGCCTTTCCCTGGGCTTGTCACCAAAACAGACGAGATAAGCAAAGACATGTCAGTCAACTAGCGCCTGCTGCTAGGCGACATGCTTGAGTAGTTTCGTATGTTGTCCCACTTGGTGATGTTCCCAGTGGTTATGGGGTTGTGGAGAACGGCAACTCACTCGTGGCTTCCGAGGCCCTCCAAGAGGCACTCAGATGCCGGACACGACAGGTCATGAAGTCATGGCATTTGATCTGCAGTGCTCATGTCAATGTCCAAATCATTGCAATCTTCCAGCGAAGATGCGGTTTTAGGTTCAGGGCCTTGTAGGGCTTTCTGTGTATAGGATTGTCATGAACTTGTGGGTCTGATGTTGGTGAGTAGTTTGCCTTGGCATTTCCACAGCTTTGGCGCTTGCGCCTTTGGAGTTTGCCCATGCATTTTTGCTGTGAGTGTTGACGTAAAGGTCGATGCTCGGACCAACAGGAAGCACCTTTGCAAACTACCGAATTATAGCATGTTATAATGATAGTGACATATTGTCGCAGCGTGTAAGGCGCACGTCATATGTCATCTGAACTGTATTTAGATGCTGAAGCCATCCCCAGGCTGCCTAAGCAAAGAGTGCTGCAGCATGACATCCAGCTTGAACTGCGAATGCAGCGAAGCTGGTGCCGAGAGGCTCTTTTCGGATTCTGAAGTAGCTTGTGCCAGTATGCAGATGCCACAAAGATCACGGCCCTGTAAGGGCCCTGCCCCATGCTGCTCCCTAGTTTGCTGGCTAAGGAAGCAGAGTCTTCAAATTCCCGGTTATAGAGGCTTGAAGCCATGGGGCCGGCATCTCGTACCCGAGACCCGGCATGTCCTGCATCAACGTGTGCTTGACTGGCACATCCTTGTCAACACAACGAGGCAAGACGAGACAAGGCAAGTGCTCATGAGAAGAGTGACTTCATCGAGGCTTGCGGCGAGCTCATGCATGGTCCTGCCGGCTAATAGTCGGCCCCAGTTAAACAGAACAACGACCGTGGACTGCGAAGCAGCCAGGAATTTTAAATGCTGTGCATATCGTGCATTCAGCAGACAGGTGCACACAACAAACTTGCCCGAAGTTTGTGACATGAGAGGGTTGGCGTCTAAGAGGTGTCCAACGCACCAGATCATAGCAGCGTCATGAGCAGCAATGTGACGGTTTTCAACTCGGTTCAAACGAAGGGCCAGCTTTCGAGCTAGGCCTGTCTGATAGTTCTGCGCCTTCTTGCAGAATTGCAAGATGCGGCCTTCCCGCGCAACAGCCCCGGCTGTGGTTCTCGGGGCCTGTGCCCTCCTGGTGCTGCCAGCGAGCCTCAGCTTCAGC